GGAAATGCTGGTTTCCTACCATGAAAATCATCAGGATGTTTGTGAAGCCAGGATATCCTATGTTTTCTAATGTTCTGTGCCAATACTGTATTAAATTATTATTATTAAGCTATGAGATTCCGCTTTTTGGGGATGAAAAATGAACATTACGAAAGTTCACCGGAAAAGTTTGGGTGTAAAAAAGGTTGAATCCTTTTATGCCACATATGATTTTACTGGGCGTTACAATTAATCACAAATTGAAAAGAAAGAAGAAAAGAAGAAGAAAAAAAATTAAGGAAGAAAATTAAGATAAGCAAGAAAGATAGACCCAGCTCGTATCTTGGTCACTACAAACGACTGCGAGTCACAGTCTTTTGCCACAAGAAAGAAGAGAAGAAACCAAATTAAAGGTAAAGTGCTTAAACACATGAATCTTTCGTTATTCCTAACGATATGGATATTAAAATCCACTCAAGGAAACCAGTCTGCACGCATAGATTCCGATTTGACACTTTACCACAAATCCTAAAGCATTGAGCGGAGTCTAGCCCTGCCAGTCTCTGGCTGCATCAAGTCAGCTAAATGTGCTTGTGCATTATGCCCTTAACCTAGTTTCACTGTGCAGACACTGTTACACATAGCGACTGGTCAGGCTTAGTGTCTGCGAACTTTCCTTGCTTATGGGTACTATACCTCGTGAAATACGTGAATTTAATTTAGTAACAGTTTAATTGTAAATACAAAATATATTTGATCGACCTATATTGATTCTAGATAAAGATTTCAGTGGTTGTTAAATTCATTATGATATTGTACACGTAATTGTTATTTGTTTTTTACTTGATATTATAGCTTCATTTACGGAAGCCCATTAGTGCCACCATACGAAATAAAATTTAAGAGGATTATCTGGCGGCCGCCAAATAATTAACTGGCGGCCGCCAGATAATTACTCTTAAATTTTATTTCGTATGGTGGCACTAATGGGCTTTTGTAGTTCTGCGACGATATGTGGAGAAATTTCTACCTCTTCTCAAACAAACATCAACATGTTAGAACAATGATGAAAAATTTTTGCTGATTTTTGTTGTTGTTATTTGATCGCAGGGGCGTACGCAGGGGGGGGGGGGGGGTTGGGGGGTTCAAACCCCCCCCCCCTTTTGGTATTTTTATGTGTGTAAACCCCCCTAAAAAAAACTAACCCCCCCCCCCTTTGTTTTTTGTTTTTTTTTTGTTTTTTTTGTTTTTTTTTAATTAAAAAAAAAAAAAAAAAAAATTATGCCCACGGCTAACGTAAAGTGACCTTACCCCCCCCCCCCCCCAACGAAAAAAATGTCAAATTTTCAAATTTCGAGACCAAACGAAAAAAATGTCAAATTTTCAAATTTCGAGACCAAAAAAAAAAAAAAGTGTCCCGCTTACCCCCCCCCCCCCCCCCCCCCCCCCCCCCCCCCCCCACTGAGCGACCTTTCGGCCGGCGCGATTTTCAAATTTTCGGAGCAAATATTTTGGGCCAGATTTTAAACCCCCCCCCCCCCCCTTGAAAAAATCCTGCGTACGCCCCTGCTTGATCGAAAACACACCTGTTGTTATACCCTGTTGGCTTCACAAACCGCCTGGTGGATCTTCAAATGGTAGTATTTCCACCACTGATATCTCCAGCGGCGAATTGAGTGGGTACCCGCAGATAACGATGCTGACAAAATGTAACTTCACTGATCAGGGTGTGATGGTTAATGTATAGCTGCACACAAACATAAGATAAAGTACAATATAATGAGAAGAAAGTAAGCCAACCGAACGCTTAAACATCAGCCATGTGCTTCAAGGCAAGCAGGGAAGGCATGGGAGATGTGACAAGAAAATGAAGTAAAACTTTCTACAATGCGATTATGTTAATATAATTACGAAGCAGAATTAACAAAAAAAGGGACAATGTTGCCAAGGAGCGTTGAACAGTAGATTTGAGAAAGTCGAGATTTAGTATGTCACTTTTTTAAATAAAGATTTTGCATAATTTAGAGCACACGTTGACATTTAAAAAAAATGATAGTAAGTTGAGCCCTTTAAACATATAAAAAGTACCAATTACAGAATGATGGAACAATTCATCTCCTTGGAGATTTGTCTTTTTGTAAAACTAAAATTCCACACACGCGTTGTTATAAAGGCAAATCCATATTGCACTGTATTGTCTCTTCGTACAAACTAAATTTCCACTGTCGCGTTATTTCGCCCATCGAGCGCTCAAGAACTGTTTTTATCTCGTGCTTTCAACAGCGATAAATGTGAATTTTCTCTTCGTGAAAGCTGGAAATACGATTTGGGTGAATTTGTCCCTTCTTTGGCTATAAAGATCTCGATGATTCTAATTAATTTTGACAATTCAATCAAATCGAGAACACTATGATAGAGTTTAGATGCAGTGAATGTGCTCTCCCCCCCCCCCCCCCCCCCTCCCAGCTTTATTCAGCGGCTGGCTGAGTCGTGGCGAAATTTTTCATCAAATCCTGGACCAAAATTTAAAAAAAATATGGGCTCTTGTTTTAGTTTTATTGGCGTGTATCATTCATTTATGAATATTTACGCCGAATTTAAGTTGCATTAAACAAGATTGAATGGAAGCAGAAGAAAGAAGGGAAAAAAATCTGCGCTGTTCAATTTTTCGCATTTAAAAAAAGGTTAAAAAAGACGCAAGCGGACTCGACGTGTACACTTATAGTGCACATCTGCTCTCCCTAGAGGGCAAATTTGCACCCCAAAGTAGCTATGGGGTGCTGATTTTGTAGAAAATGTCTTAATCCCTATATTAGTACACGTATGCTCCCTCTAGAGTGCAATTCTGCACCCTACTTTGGAGGGGGACGCAATAGGTTAATGCCGGGTCCGCCCTTTTAATTGATGGATACGCCACTGATCTCTATCTTCCAACCACTTTAAGTTTATCCTTTTATTTTTAAATATACCCCACCCCCTCCTCTTAAATTATATTCAATCTGCCTTTCTCTTTTACTACGTATCGCCCTCATTCCATCCCATCGAAATAACATGTCTGCTCGTCGAACCATTTAATCGATAAGATGACTTACAGTTGCGGTTGATAAATCTGAAAGATACTAACTCTTTAGCGCCAGCTACTGTTGAAAATATATCTCGCCCACGATCATATCGGCAAACTATCGGTAGCCCAATTTCATGTCGTCTGCTATGATTCGGTTAATGTACAAATGTTGATAATGTGGCTAATATCCAAACAGTCATTTTACAGCGTTAAGATGATCCAATGATCTCAGGAAAAATATACAATACAATAACTATTTAGTATTTATTATCGTCGATGTAGCGACTAATTCATTCCTTTTTTTCCAGTTTCCGTAATGGAAAACGATTAAATCAGCCGACATTGATCGCTGATAATGAAGACTAATATAAATATGGGATGTGCCATTGACCGGAGCTACGCGGTAGTCATGGGAACGCATGTAATCATTTTGATCTAATATGTACATGTATGCCGCACGCTTCCATTCACCGATTCGATACAGGCGGTGCGTGCCGGGTGCGTTTAATATGACTGAGATGACTTTATCATCAGCTCACGGTCATTAGTCTTTTTAACGCTCGTAATTAATTATGAAGTATATACAATTATAATTATATAGTAATTTAACAAGAAATATTCGATTGCAAGTGAACGATATTGACCATGAATGGATTTTTAAAAAATACATCGCTAAGTGCGAAAGTGTATTGTGTGACTGAATATATTTTTTAGCCAATGTTAACGGCCCTAATCATAAAAAAAATACATTTGGCTCATGCACTGTAAACTATCTTTACATTCCGATATCATAATTATTTTCCTTTATAAAATGAGGAAACAAGACGATAAAACTACCATGGATTTAGTGGAGGTGAAATTGTACTTATGTGAAATGCATATTCCTGTGAAATGTGTTTCGCTTGAAGGACATAGTCTCATAGTAATCGATGATAGTCGAATGTAATTTTTACTCAAGGGAATATTATGATCACAGACGGCCATGTTGACATCTACCCAAGATGAAAAGGAGTAACCTAACAGTATTGATATTTGATGCAAAGCGTCGGGCAGTCCCATCTATACATATTGTTGTAAGTATGCAATTAGCATCTCGACATGTGTTTTATTCCGGTACCTACTAGACGCTCGGCAGAGAGGCGATGAAGAAGCAGAATAGCTTTTCTTTATTCTGGATTTTGACTTATTCCTAGCCTTAAACAAAGATGCTTTTGTGATGGCAAATTAATTTTAAACAGTCTCAATGTTGGTAGGAGTGATTTGAGTACCTAAGTGTTTGAGGTACTTGAATATGTGGAAAAAAAACCCGTGGGTTATGCTTGAATGTGTATATACACTATGGTCGCGAAGCTTCTGAAGAGCGTTCAGAGTGGAGTTGGACTCTCTCCTTTATCTTACCCTAAAAGGATCATCATCACCAGGATAAACGGGGGTACAGGTTTAGATAATACCTCCTCCTGATCTCCTCAAAACCGCCACCAGTCTTGACTAAAGCTGATGAGTTTAATCACCAATGCCTGAGTGATCCTGGTTTGTTTTGCGTTATATAGACGCATTTAAATGGAAACAATCGGAAGATGTAAAAAGCACTTTCAGAAGCCTATGAACAGCAACCTGGTCCAAGATTCAATTGTTGCCCTCGCCTACCCTCCTCCGAAGCAATGCACCCGTTCTTCTCCTTCTTCAGCCAAATCCTTCCATGAATGAAGTATGACTGGTCGCGATGCGGGGGGAAACTAAGACGCTACTGGACCGTGGAAAGAACAAAACGACAGATGCATGTAGTGATAAGAATAGGGCCTTTAGATCGAAGATGTTGGAGCTGTAATTACACAATAGACCCCTCTTGTACTCATTTGACGGGATTCTTTTCTCACCCACTCTTGTCTTTGTTTAGAACCACGCGGGAGATTTGTAGCGGTTTACGCCCATTCATCGCCACCCCTCCCTACAAAACGGACCGAAAGGGTGGAGTCCAAGCTCTTGACATGCAGTGTTCCGTGCAACACCTTTACGCGCTACCACCATTTCTACCATTGGCATTTTATTACCCCACCCAGAAGATGGATTCTTAGCAAAATATGATATTTCATCAACTTTCTCTCCAGGACAATGCCTTTAGCTTCCCTTTGGATGGTTTTACAGGGATGATATAAGTTTTATTCGGAGTGCAATTCTTCTTTAAAGGCCGCTACTGTGAGGAGGATTCTGTGAGGGGATGTATCCCCCGGAGCACTGGGTCAGATGGGGGTTAGCTTTACCCATTTTTCTAGTTATCCTGTCTGGTGTTAATGCTCAAGGAGGTACGTTTTATAATTTCTTCTCCTTCCTTCTTCCTTCTTTCTTTTTTCTTTTTCTTTCTTTTTTCTTTTTTCTTTTTTTTTCTTCTTCTTCTTTCTTTTTTCTTTTTTCTTTTTCTTCTTTCTTCTTTCTTTTTTCTTTTTTCTTCTTCTTTCTTCTTTCTTCTTTCTTCTTTCTTCTTTCTTCTTTCTTCTTTCTCTTTCTTTTTCTTCTTCTTTTTCTTCTTTCCTTTTCTCTTCTTCTTCTTCTTCTTCTTCTTCTTCTTCTTCTTTCTTAAGATGAACTACAGTCGACCTTGACGTTGGTGTATTTTACTCTCCACAAGTCATTTCAGTTATGCCTTCAATAGATATTCACATTTTTTCTCAATAAATAGGGGCCTACATTATAAACATAAAAGCAGTAAAATTGTTCTCAAGAAATCAAAGGAATTTCCGAGGACAATTATTATGTCCTCATTCCGAATCAAGACAAGTCTGGGTTCAAACGACATTAATGACAGGATAAAGCTTTCCATGCGAGTTCTGACATATCAAACCAATAACCTGCATTTTGACTATTGAAGTACAAAAATCCATAGCAGGTGTACGAAAACCTTTTTAGTAATTGTATTCATAACTTTTTAATACATGGTTCTCTTGACGACTGAAAAGCTTGCTCGGTGCATGTTATATCCCGGCATAGCAACACAGAGGGGAATCCTTCCATAGAGAGGCCATCATGTATAGTAGTTGAATTAGATGGTTGGTTATCAGGGCCAGGGTTCGGATGAGAATGCATAATAGAAATACAGTAAAGACGTATCGTCTTTCGAAAGGATCACCATGTACTCATATATTTCAAAGTTGTGTGGGGGGGTACCGCTATACTCGGACACAGCGCTTGAATGACTTCATACAACTTTATGATGTGTGGATATGTACGGGATAATTACAGCTTACGTAAAGATTGAATACATTTTGTTGAATGGTCTATAATAGCATATAGCTTCACATCCAGGGGCCGCCATGAGCCCAATACTAGAAACGTGCGTGATTACATAACACGTGTTCACTAACTAACCATTTTCGTAATGTAACCAAATATAATGTTTACAACTTTGTGAAAAGCCTCAATACGAATGATTCCATTCACATGTTACGATTAATTGTATTCCAATAGTCAGAATTCAAATTGCATATAATTACGTGTTGTTAGGTAGGACAAGCCATAATGTTTGTCCTACCTAACAACAACTAATGTATGCAACATAACGAAAATGGCCTGTTAACTATCGATTGAAAAAAAGATAAATTAATTGATTAAACATCAAAATAAAACGTCTCATCCTCACTCGGCAAGCAGAACAGAAACAATTTTAATTTCAAAGCATTTCGAAAACGTTCTAATGGCTCAAAAAATGGAGATGTCTAATATGTTTTAATCACATCCAGAAACCCTATAACACAAGCATCGAAAAAACCTCTCGGCGAATTAAGATTATTTTCTTCGTTTTAGAATCACTACGGAAACTCCCCCTATTATTGCCATTGTTGCATTTGACCGGTCTTGATGGTAGGTATTACTTCGTGAATAGTGTAAAAGAAACCTCTCAAAAATACTCTACTGAGAGCCGAGGAAGAATGTACCTGGCAATTGCATGGGTAATAATAATTGCAGGGTTCTCTGGAAGAACAGGATAAATGCTGATGAGGCTTTGGGGTTTACCTGAATAAACAAAATTATTAGTACATTATTCCTGGAAAGATCTACAACATATCTCGTGTGTGTGACTGTCCCCTTGATACAGTCAAACCTGCTTTAGTGACCACCTGTCTACAACAAGCACATTTTTTGTTTCCCTGAAATGGTTTCTCATTGAAACATGTACTAAAGGAGCCTGTCTACAAAGACCACTTTTTGTGTTTCCCTTGGGCGGTCGCTGTAGACAGGTTTGACTATATTATTACTGCATTCTCTATAATCCTCAATCTTCAATCCTCAATCTTCAATAAGCTACATCAATTTCGCTATACATGTCTTAATTTAGATATAAGCAAAAACCTCTTCGATTTACACGGTATAGTAACGTACGTGTAAGTGTATGTATTCGCTGTCCCACTGAGCGTGAACCCACATGGGTGTATTTAGTGGCCGAGTCATTTGGATTGTATCGATCCGTATTGATCCATCCCTCTATTTGAATGCGTTAAAGCTTTACACAGGTCGGCTGTCTGTTACATATACAAAACTGATACGATGAGACACATGCTATAGAACCATCGAAAGGCGACGTGTACTTCTAATGAATAGTAAACATGTTTTTTTTTCTCCGATTATAAGCTACACGACTTTGACTTTGAAAAAAACTACTATCGCAACATTTCCCTCTATAAGGACCTGCTCCGTAAAAGGAGAAAGAGATAGAGATAAAGACAGAGAGAGGAAGAGAGAAAGAAAAAAAAGAGGGGATAGAGAGAAAGAGAGAGAGATAGGGGGAGGCAGGATATCGTTGAAGTTTAAATCATATGTTTGAATTCTCACCACGTTATTTTTACATCTAAATTAGATAGTCAACACGGGACTGCAGGCAAGATTAGTATACAAAACTTTTAATATAGGGTCTACATCTCCGTGGGTTTTTAGAAATTCATCATTTTGTCTCTTGCTTCACTCTCTCTTTCTTTTATTACTCCCCCCTCTCTCTCCCTCTCTCTGTTTCATACTATACCTCTCTTTTTTCATATATGTTCTCTCTCCCTCCCTCTCTCTAACTATTACTCCCTCAACTCTCTTCCTATTATTATTCCCTTTTACTCTATCTCTCTTTCTCTCTCCTTCTCTCTCCTTCTCTCTCTCTCTCTCTCTCTCTCTCTCTTCCTCTCTCCCAAGGAAGGTATATTATGTATGCGTGATGCATGTAAGAGTCTGTTTTAAATGATGAGTGAAAACGATTCACTCTGTTTTGACGTAGGCTTACTTCGTTTTAAAGTTTGGATAATTTGGGGCTCATAATTACCAATCTATCATAATTACCAATCAATCTTGTGCGGCCATGTTGAATACCTAAATTTTTTGGAAGATCATCTCTAAACTCATATTACCCCAGTGAATCTGAACTCCACAATACCCCTGTCACCTCTGTATGTCCTTCACTCACGTGCGACCAAGCTAGATTATCCTGCCCTTCCTGAAATCGATTTTATTTTAAGACCGACCGCAGGAATGTATTAGCCCTGTCGTAGTAAAACTGTGATCGAAATGGGCGCGGTTTCTTTAAAGAATGAATGAATTGATTTGCTACATTTGGTAGAACGAATGAATGAGTCATCAACCTTCAATATATGGATATCACTACACGCTGCATAAAGTTCTTTCATTCATTTAGTTTTCCATTGAAGGAAACTGGAGCAGTACTAAATATGAATGAGTCTTGATTTTACAATATAGATAATTCGGGTTAAGTAAACTGCAGAGTAAAACTTGTTTTTCCTTGTACGTGTGAGATCCTAAAGCTCGTATCACGTTTAAAAAAAAATTATATATATATATTTTCTTCCATTTTCAAGATAATATAACATGACAAGATAATGATAACATGACAGTATAAGATAATGTGACAAAAAAATGTCTTAATCGATTATGTGAAATTCAGTGGGTGATACATTTAAACATAAATTAAAAAGAAAGGGTGAAAAAATTAAGACCACGAATCGACTGCTCTCTCAAGCCTATTGTCCATGAGGCGTCATTCTCTTTGCGTCATTAGGGACTTTTAGATTTGCACAACGACAACGTGGATTGCTACGATCGACGTCCTTTTAATGCACTGCCTTGAATGGACGCCACACGTATCAGTCCACGCAAATCTAAAAGTCCCTATCGCCTGCGCTAATCAAACCTGTGAAGAAAAGTAGTAGAAAACATGCCAGTAATTAAAAACAACGCTTGCACTTTTCATTCGCAGTAATTTCTGTACGTTATTACTCTCTCGTGGTGCGTCAAAGGCCGGGACAATCATTGACGGAGTGCTATGTCAGGCAAACGACGACTCTTGTATATTTCTAATATAAATATTGTCTTGGAGATTACTTCAATAACAGTTGTTCAAATTTTAGGGAACCACATACAATAAACTCGACAGGGAAGAAGCTACAGATTTAAATAATCTGAACAATGAATATTAAAAGCCATTTGGAGTAAAAATTGATGTTGATCTTTCAATCATTTGATCTTGATCCTTCAATCACTTGATAATAATAATAATAATAATAATATTCCGCTTTTATATAGGGCTTGATACATCTACGATGTCTCTAAGCGCTTTACAGATATACTATTACCCCAGTCATTGGATTCAATAATTGCCCGCACACACTGTGTACAATCTCCACTCCCTGGGGATCATTCCAGCCAGGTGTTACTTGACGCTCAAAAACTGTTTGACCAACAATGACAATCGCATCCTACCGGGCACAGGTATTAAAATGAGCATCCTACCGGGTACTCATTTTAAAGGCCCACTGCACTACTGGTAGCTACTTGCGCCCTCTATATAACAAACAATGCCTAATCGGTGACCATTGGTCCCCCATGATTCTCTTTTTCTTATGTTAACTGAGAGCTGAGTTGATGAGATAACCACCTGTCCAGTGACCTTGTAGAGCGGTTTAATCCCTCCTGTAAACTACGGCAGATAAGCTTTAAATCCTGGGTGTAGAGTAGCAGATGCAGGTTAATATCTTGCCAAAGGATATTAGTGCCGTGTCGGGATTCGAACCCATGACCTTCGCATCTCCAGTTGAGCGCCGTAAACCACGCGGCCATGGAACACCTGTGGGCCAACACCCCAGTGTTAATGATAATGCCGTTCATGAACGCTAACATACACGTAGACTAATGAAGACAATACATATTCCTTTTGACCTTCACATTCTAATCTATGGCTCTTCCTTAGCCATGTTAAGGTATTTTATGCAAATTGTATTAGCTGAGTGTGTGTTTCCACTGGTATGAAACCCATTTCCCCCCGTAATCATTTTTCTTGATGAACCTAAAGTTTTCCGAGGATTGGCTATCATAGCAGCAACAACGTATTTTGCACGCAATCTTCATTCTTACTATGAAATTAAACAAAATCACATCATTATAGGGAAGTTATATGAAGTTTTGATATACAGCTAGCTCCAGCCCAATGATTGCCTAACACAGCAACATATGATGTATACAATATGAACTCCATAATATTATATCGGAATGCTGTAAAATGATTACAAACGTATTAAATATGTCATCGCCTAACTACAAGTGGTCTCATCGACATGATCGAGTAGCCTAATGTGATGTGGAGCTGGCAGTTATTGCATAATTGCATTAATATGATTACTAAGACTTGTTATAAGCCTAATAACGATTGTTTCACAAAGAGACAATTTACTCGTGAAGTATAGGCGTCAACATCAGACCAAACTGTGCTTTCTGTTCTAATCGTGTTCATGTATATATTTTGCAAAATACTTCCAACATTTATTATTTCTTGATTCCTTTTCATGAAATTGAAATCTAACCAGCAAACGTGTGCAGCTCACATCTCATGGGCTCTTACATTACATCTCTTCAGTAGAGTTTTCGCATATAAAATCGAATCGGCGGCAAAAGTTGACTAAACACAATGAATTCTGGTACTTTATTTACCATTGTGATCAGCAAATCTTTCTTTTCATGCACACAACTCCGGCAAATACAAGTACCCCAGTAGTATAAACAGACAGTAGTTGGTCCTACTTTCCTTTTATTTTCTGGAAGCACAATCAAAGTTTTGTTTGATGCTGCATAATGAGACGACATACTGCGCATTCCTGTGGCACTGGATAAGGGAGTTTACAGATAGCACATGGTACAAATGACCCCAAATATCCACAGATCTTTTACACATGGAGAAGTTCCACTTTGAGCATCTTAGAATAATAACTGCCAATAAAGTCCTAAAAGTGCTTCATGAATACCTTTTGTTTGACCTCTCGAAAAGAATACTTCCAACTGCGTATCATAGAATGTACCGTTGGTGCATAAATGAAAAATGTTACATAACTTTCATTAGCGCATATCCAGTATTCATCTTTGTGGGTTTTATCATTTTGGTACAAATGACCTTTATCTGCCCATGCACAGATTGTATTTGTAAACTCCCTTATTAAAGGTGATGCACAGTTAGGCGTATGAGGAAGGGGAAGGGAGCTGCCGCCCTAGAAAATGTTATTTTTTACCAACATTCAGGCAGCCTGCACCTAATATTTAGGCAGCGACGTGGTCTATTTAAAACTTAAATTCTACGTATATTTTGCAGACAATTGTAACTATTATGATAAAGTAGTCATTTTTGGTATTTGGGCAAGTGACGTCAGCCACTCTCCCACCCCATTGCCCTTGCGCCTGTGTTCGCAGTTCTAGCACACAGCTTGAGTCAATGGGCCATTAACGTCAGATATGTACAATCGGGGCAATTTCAAAAAGTTCGAAATACAAAGCATGAAGCATAAGCATGAAATTTAAATAAATCTAGCTAAAAAAATTGGAGTGTATATATAGTGTAAAATTATTTCCACCACAGACTACTTTTTTAAAGTAAATCAACTTCGCCTTTCAAATCCTCACCAGCTCTTTTGTCCTTTACAAACACACTCAATCCCCCGATGTCTTTCACTCCCGTATAAGACGTAGACAGCTTAATGTCTTTCTCCCTCGTTACAAGTTATAATGAGCTTTATAACAATCTTTTTGTTATTGCTTCCCGTTGCCACTTAAAAAGAAATTAAATGGGAGTCGACTTAGTACCAGATTGAGAGTTTTGTTTAAAAGAGAAACAGATTTACACGTGTATCTACACGGGAAAAGCATATTTAGCAAGATAAGCGACCTTTACAGTCATCTTCAATATAGCGAATTATTGTAATAATTGTTATTATCATTAGTAGTAGAAGTAGTACTTCTACTAGTATCAGCGGCAGTAGTAGTAGACGTCGTCATCGAAGTCACTAAGACTGCTAAGTAATTATGATATTTGCAGTAGGAGCGATAGTTCTTGTTGTAAGGAAGGAAAATAATCCGCAGATGATCCTTTTACCACTCTTTTCAATAAGACGAAATAAGGTGTAATTTCTAGTTTCTCGTTCTCTCGTTCCCTTGTTTCCCTGTTCTCTTATTTATCTATTTCGTTATTTGATATATTTGTTCTGAAATAGAAATAAATTAAGAATCTGAGGAAATCTTGAAAAACATCAATGTACTGCCTTTCCACCCTGTTTTCAGCCTCTGAAGTGCATGTATAAATTAAATTTGAAAAATATCAGAAAAAAATGTCAGATAAAAAATGTCATTCGACCGCCTCCTTCTCATTTTCGAAAAATCTGGACGTGAAACTACAAAAATTTATTTTTACTTGGCCTAAATTCTCGATGCTTATAACAGATAGGTTTTCCTCTTTTTAATTCAAGATAAATCCTTCATCCATTTCCACCAGTCTTTAAACCGAAATAAATCAGTGTACACCTCACCACATGCAGTAAGCTACCCTCCATTGTAGTTCAAACAATGCCTACTATTTCCGAGGCCTCTTATTTCAATGTTTGAATAGACGAGGCTGAATAGGGGACACTAAGACCTACTGAATTCCAAAAGAAAGCATTTTGTTTTTCATTATAGAAACACAGAAGAAGTTCTCACGATAAACCCTCTGTCAAATAAAGAAAGCTCCGTTTGTTTCGCTTTGACATTTGATTGTGAATATGGAGAATAGGTTTTACTATCCAAGCAAATGTTTGTATTATACAACTCGAGAAAGAGCACAAGGGGTATGTCTTAGCAATACTTGAGTTTTGTTTGTATGATGATTCCAATAGAGTAGTGTATGCAAGGGACATCTTGTGGAAATAATGTAATATTACATAGTGCAAGCAGTGTTTCCTTTATTAGCATTTGCGTTCCCTTTACTATGTTAGACCTCGTATACGCCCCGCCCAGTTTGAGGGTCAAGAAATAGAAGTAGAAGAATATAACGACAAAGAAGAAGGATGAGATGAAAAAGAAGAAAAAGAATGTGAAAAAAGGAGAAAGAAGAAAGAAAAAAAAAAAACTTAAAATCCTCGTAAGCGCAGAGAGTCTATCACTCTCCCCGTCAGATAACATTATTACCCTGTTTTAAAATGTATTTATGTCTTGCTACGTCACTGTTTAGTGCTGGTAATAGGATTTTAATCTACCGCCTATCTACGCATCACTAACGCTGTTTCAAGCGAGATGGTCATTACAGTATTGGTAACACTTCCAGTTCCCTGATTGGTCAAGTTATTCAGGTGATATTCAGGTCAAGGGGCGGCTTCAGGGTTTTAGTAAACTTGGGTCGTCAAATTTCCGAAAAAAATCATAGACCAGGAAAAGAAAAGTATCACATTTCTCAGTTTTGCCTCTAACACTGACAGTTATATCGGTCGTTGAATATCCAATGCCCCTGTTAAATTTCCGAAAACATAGACCAGGTAAAAGAAAAGTATCACATTTCTCAGGTTCCTTTTTATTAAAAAAAAGGGAGGGGAAGAGATTTGTTAGCTAAAGCCGTGCTGGCTTTAAAGGGGCAGAGTAGGTTGTGCCCCCAAAACATACAGTGATATCGGTCGTTGACTATCCAATGGCCCTCCTGGCCTGGAATTTCACGGGTAGCTCGCTGTTTATTTATTCATTATTTTTGCACTCGTTTGAAAAGTGGATATTCGATGTTTTTATTATTTTTATCGATACTTTGCATATGGTAGAGATGCGTGGAAGCAGAGAAAGACTTGTTTATACTTTATTATTTAGGAAACATAATGAATTAAAAAAAATGCTAGTAGGTGCTAATAACGTGCTACCATTAAAACTATTTAAGTTATCGAAAATGACATTTTACTTGAACGTATAGTCGAGACATGCAAAGTTTGATTTATTTCTGTCCACACCTTCCTACAAACGTCCTTACTCTCATTTCCAAAGTGTGTTTTTATTTTATTTTTATTTTATTTTTTAAACTTATACATGAAGGCAATGTTATCATTATATAGGAGGATGTTTCCAGCTGTTTGTCCTGAAAAAAAAAAAAACAAATCGTGAATGCACGAGCAAACAAACAAACACTAGGGGCGATGTCCTGGTAAGGACGGGGTAGAAAGAAAAAAAATCAGTAGGTGGAATAGATCCAGAATACCAGATTAAAATTCATATTTTCTCAGTCATTGTTCATTCTTCATCTGCTTTCTGCTTTTTGCAGACGGTGCATCTCCCTGTCTGAGCAACCCGTGCCAAAATGACGCCGTCTGCTTCCCCTGGATCGACGGTACATCTTACGTGTGCATCTGCCCGCCTGGTTATACTGGAGCCAACTGCGAAACCGGTAAGAAAATACCATACCTAATATATAATTTTTCTGGTGAAATTTCGATGCTACAATTAGTTCAAACAAAGCTCTTGTGATTGGTTGAAAGTTTTGCCAGCCACGCAAGCGCACAAGCTAATGAAGAAACAGGTGTATTATTGTAGTCTTCGGTACAGGCAAAATTTGTTGCAGTGAGAGTGAGTTATCGTTGATTTAAAAAAAAAAAATTTGTTAGTTGACTATAGCCAACGTATTCCTCATTATGTTGTTAAGTATTAAAAGGTTGGCAAACCCGGACTTTAGTGCCCCAGCTGAAAATCTCAGTTTATTATGGATTTAATATCAATAATATTAATTATGCTAATATATGCAAATATAAACATACCAAAACTTGATGATTTTTAATCATTTGACGTCATAAAAAGCATTTTAAGCCAAAAATAGCAGCGAAGTAGGGGATCTCCTCTTTGCTTGATGCGAGATACTAGCGAACTGAAATAACCGAATAAAAACTATGGTGAACTAAAAAAGAAAAGAAAAAATCAAACCACCTCTGAAATTACCTTTGAAATGTTTATTAATTTTTTCTTCCGATATGCGCACATGATAGGGGCAGGTTGGGATGGGATGGGGGGGGGGGGTTGCTCAATAGTCGCCAAATTTGGGGTAAAAGGGCAACTGGCCTTGGGGGGGGGGGGGCTAAATTTATTATTTACTTATTTTTCTTTGTAATCATTTTTCTAATTTTTTCCGGGGTGGCTCTTTTCTTTATTCTGCCCCCAAGGCCAGTTGCCCTTTACCCCAAATTTGGCGACTATTGAGCACCCCCCCCCCATCCCATCCCAACCTGCCCCTATCATGTGCGCATATCGGAAGAAAAAATTAATAAACATTTCAAAGGTAATTTCAGAGGTGGTTTGATTTTTTCTTTTCTTTTTTTAGTTCACCATAGTTTTTATTCGGTTATTTCAGTTCGCTAGTATCTCGCATCAAGCAAAGAGGAGATCCCCTACTTCGCTGCTATTTTTGGCTTAAAATTGCTTTTTATGACGTCAAATGATTAAAAATCATCAAGTTTTGGTATGTTTATATTTGCATATATTAGCATAATTAATATTATTGATATTAAATCCATAATAAACTGAGATTTTCAGCTGGGGCACTAAAGTCCGGGTTTGCCAAAAGGTTGTTTAAACAACTATTATATGCTATAATCTCTTTAATGATCAATGGAAGGTGTGAAATGTTTCTACGTAACATTTCTAGCGTTGTCCACATTGCAAATGCCTATGTTCAGTCCCACTTGTTAAATTCTATGTTACTGATCCATACAGCTCTCAATTTGTTTTAATTTCTACGCATACAGATAGATCTACAGGGTGATTAATTATCTTTAATAACATTGTATTACCATTTTAAGATTGTTATGGAATATTTGTGGTACCACAAATAGTACTTATAGGTACTGAATGTTCCATATTTGGGGTGGGAAGATTCATGGAATTTCCTTGACTCTTTCCAAGGCTCCCAGCTCAGTCAGCAAAGCCCAGAAATGTTTTGTGTGTAGGCCTAGACTATATAGTATAGGGTCTACTGAACCTTTAAAGTAATCAATGGTCTCTGTGCATGAATCCAAGATCAGGTAAAGCGGAACCAATGCTGATATACCAATGATCAATATCTGTGCTTTGGTTGAAAGTTTAAATTTAAATTTGATAAATTAAAAAAGACTAATCTAAACAAATTACAAGGCCTGAGTCCTGACAAAATCTACTTAGATCTAGTTGAATCTGTGGGGTCAGTTGAAAGACTGCAGTTACCTATTTCCTTGAGAAACAATAGCCCAAGGGACATGGGCTATAGACTGTAGTGTAGTTGCCAAGACTTGATAACACTCCCTTAATAAACCTTTTGTTATCCTGTAGACCTACTCTGTAGACTAGACATGCATTCATTTCCATAGAAAGTCACACTGTTTGAAAACTTCAGGGGTCAAAACTAAAGAGAAAATATATTTCTTCATTTTTTTCATTTTAATGTGTACATTCATGAGTGTTTAACATTAGCCATCACAATAGAACTTACGTTTCTCATGAGTTTTTTTTTTAATGTTAATAGAACATCAGTTAAAGTAATTGGCACATTGGAATTAAGGAAGATGTTCAGTGTATCTTATCTAGCAGGACAAATTTTGTCTCAGATCATCAAGATGTGCCAAGAAAAACACATTTCAGTCAAAGACCATTTCCATTTCTTAAATGACAGTTTTAACGTTTTATTCGTTTATCACCTTTTCTAGATGTCTTCCAAAAAAGTCTCGAAACTCTCCTCTTTGACCATGATCAACAACGTATTCTTTGATAATTTTTATGTAAAGCGCTGTGAAACAACAGTTAGTTTGAAAGAGCGCTACATAAATGACTCTATTGTATTGTATTGTATTAAAGTTAAATTTGGATCGAGTTTGCTGAACATGAGTGCCAAGTTTTAATCCTGCCCATCCAGCCGATCAGCTCAGCCTGTACTGAAATGTAAAATTCATTCATGGAACTAGTGAGAAATAATTGCAATCCCGAGTTTATCCAGTATCCTTTACAAAATCAAGACACGCATGGCACACTATTGCGCAATAGTATAATGTCCATGATTACAATAGCATGTGAATGGATGAAGCGAAACTTTGCAATCCTTACATCCAGTTCTCATGAAATCAGGTGAAAATTCATTGACTTTATTGTCGCCAAATAAAGGAAATCACTTGCCCATGTTCTATGACTTATCAATGGAGGGGGGGGGGGGGGGGTAGTGGGTAGATGTATTTATTGGATGCTCCATTGGACACGCTGTTAATTCCAACGCTATCATATGTAGAGGGGAATCCCATTTAAGGCAATTAATCCTCGTGGAAACTTGCATGGAATAGAAAATCACCATTTATGTCTAGTGTACCAAACTATACAAGGTTAAGTCTCATTGTTCTTTGGAAAAGGGGAAGAGACATAAGGAAAAATCATACAATTAAATTGATGAATGATGATGCAAAATAAGGTGATTTTCATGCTATGCACTTCCTCATTTAAAATTTGGTATGGTCTTGTACATTGTTCTGGATAACAAGTAACCTAGACTAACTTTGATTTCCCCTTTTTTCTTTCATGAATTAAAATGATATGGAAAGCAAAAGAGAAGAAAAAAAAAACAAAGCGAAACAAAAGCAACAAAAACCATCTTAGAAGGATCTGTACAGCACTTTCTGTGTGTCACGTTCTTGCTATGAAGTATGAAGTAGATTGTGCACTGTAAAAGGTAAAGTGCAATACTGTTTGTTAGAGCTGGATAATATATCTATCAGCTTGTGCATCCTAACATACTGTGTTCTAATAGTGGAACTTTGGATGCAATATAGGGATACAGAATTTAAAGGAAATATAAACATGTAGCAGTACCCGTGGAAATCCTTGGGACTCTAGAGGGGGGAGAGGTGTAAATAGATATATAGAGACTCTCTAAATTAAAACCACCAAGAACTTTATTTGCCATTTAGAAAACACCATGAGTTCCTGATCCAACTCTATCGGTAGTTATCCAAATTAAAATCAAATCAAATCAAGAAGCAGTTTTTGGGGACAAATGTACATGATTGAAGCTATGATAGCTACAAAAGAAAGAAAAAAGTTCAGTGTTTTTGTTTAGAGGATATGCTTTACCTTCATATGTGTATCCAACAAACAAAAAGTAACAATGTTTATTGTTTGACAAGAATCCATGATTTCTTTAGTTAAATTCAGGTCAGTGACACTGATGTCAAACTGTGCATGAATTGAAGTCTAAGGCTGGAAAAAAGTAATGTACCGGTATTCAAGCTTAAAAGAGAATCTCTCTCTCTCGGTTAGGGCATGACATACATTTTGAAAGCATTCCCACGACTTCTGCAAAGCTGAACACAATTCAATTTTGTCAAAAAAGTGATAAAAAAGAAGCATTCATGTATAATTCTGCTGTCAAAGTCCCCTTTCAGTCAGGGGTACTATGCGATCATCCAACCGTGATTTGTCAACACAAGGGGGGATTCCTACAATGGAAGTTTTCCCACAGCTTCCAGCTTTACTCTTCTCACCCATTCATGCGCATTGAGTAGTGATGGTTACAATGACGCCGCCCCTGGCCCTGCATATCCACGCTGACTTTGCACAGTATAACACTACTCTATTGTGGGAGTGTACTGCTACTAGTATTGCGTAAAGCAGCAAGTACACTGTTTACTGTAGAGGTCATCACGGCGAAAGTGACCCAACATGACCCACGTTCTGACCCTTACCATACCTTGAAGCGGGTGTAGGTCACCAATGGAAGTGATTGGTGGTGCCATTAGTATGTCTAGGGACTTAAGGAACAGATCATGTAGACTACTACTAACCCATCCCAGCAGTGTCCTGGTAATACTGTTTCTCTGGCTATATTCACCTGTTCTTGCAGATATCGACGAGTGTGCCAGTGACCCTTGCTTGAACGGTGCATCCTGCTTCGATTTCCCAAACTTCTACTTCTGCTTGTGCGCTGCAGGCTACAGTGGATCTCGATGTGAAATAGGTAAGTGAATAAATTAATATTTTAGCTCTCAAACGGTAGATGAAACACACTCAATTTTCTTGTGATATCTGTCATTTGTTGATAATGTTTCACTTTTATATTGCGCTTAATACATCTACGATGTCTCTAAGCGCTTTACAGATATATACTATTACCCCGGTCATTGGATTCAATACTTGCCTGCACACACTATGCACAATCTCCACTCCCTGGGGGGCATTTCAACCAGGCATTACTTGATGCTCAAAAACTGTTTGACCAACAATAACGGTCACATCCTATCGGGTACCCATTTAACACATAGGTGGAGAGTAGCAAGTGCAGGTTAATATCTTGCCAAAGGATATTAGTGCCGTGTCGGAATTCAAACTTTTTGTACTTGCACTGTATACTTGGTACCTGATAAGTATGAGGAACGGTAATATGCAAACTGTACCAGACTGGAAAAAGAAAATAAGCAAAAAGAATTTTAAAGACTTGCATTAATACATTCCCTCTTTATACTATTCCTTCATATTCATATCCTGTATTGTCACTTGTAGTTGAACCTTCTTCTTCAAGATAATCTGCCTTCTTCAATACTGAAGATTCTTGCAGATGCTGTATACTTGGCCAAATTGGGGTGTGCAGGTGGACCACTACACAGGGGTTTTTCCCCTACTCTTAAACAAAAAGTGCAGTGGGTTCTTAACATGCAAGGGGGGTGACTCTTCTGTAAACGGGGCCCTCCATTTAACATCCTATCCGAGGGACGGGGTGTTTTCAAGTTAACATAGCCCGCGTCTATTAAACAAGGGGAGGGGCACATTTACACACAACACAGGCTTCAGTCATCCGCCTGGGTGGGATTCGAACCCGAGATCATTGGTTCGACAGGCAGACGCTTTACCGACTGAGCCAACTCGCTACCTTCTTTGTACTTGCAGTGTATACTTGGTACCTAGTCATTAGTCATTACTTTGAGTTGGTAATAGTTCCTATAATATATTTATGTCTACTCTTTGTAGATCCCTATATCATTCTGGAATTCCTGAACCCTGTAGAGATTCATGAGAATGTTCCAGTTAATGAATAGAGAGACATCCAAACCTTGAGGGCATAGAGCTATGATTGAACGCAAACTGTTCTGATCAATAGATTCAAGGATCTTGTGTTCGACTAACTTAGATCATTAGCCCTTTGTATTTTGAACAAAACAAAGTAAAGAACGTTAATGCAGTTTATTTTTCGGTCAGAATCGAACTCTATTTAGTTTTTGGAGTTCTGTTGAAATTCATTTCTTTATGCACCAGGACTAGGGTGAACAAAGGTCACCTGAGTCAAGTTAATTTGATTTGTACGAAACACAGCAAGCCTTGTTTAATGGTTGATTTTAACTTGATTTATTAAACTTTGTAGCATCAGGAAGACAGTGTTCAAAATTTTCAAAGACAACACTTTTGAAAGAGAACATCTTAGAAGTGGGACCTTTCAGACAGTTTCAATACTGTAACAGTAGATGTTTGAAGACTGTCAAAACTTTGAAGCAATTTATTTGCATTCCGGTTTTCAAAGGACTTTGCAATTGAATAGTCAAGAAAACAGATTTTCTCTAACTGATGATGCAGATCAAATAAAGATAATAACTTTTGAATAACTATAGAAAGAGATTACTTTGTTGCATACAGTCTACAGTTTCATTCAAAGCATAACCTTGATTTACATAAAGCTAGGCACTAAAGAATTAAGCAGTGGTCATTACATGGTGCCTGCATGGAGCTGTAATTTGTTTTTAAGTTATTGTTTATATATTGAAATATGTTAACATTTAGAATTGATTGTCTCTATCAGTTCTTAGCAGTGCCAACATGAATACAATAAAGAGAAAAAGTTTGGAATCCCTCCTAGACTCTCTTCCCAATTGATAGTCTTGTTATCTGACATTTTGTACACCTGAAAAGACTGGCATAATGCATTTAATCCCATGGCTTCCATACTATACACAAACCCAGGTGATAAAGTTAGGATAATTGACCGGTGAGGACAAGTTGTGTGTATTCAGGCATATGCATTTTGCTATTAGAGTAAAAAATTGGACAAATACAGCAAGGCCTTTACACCTCCTTCCAGTGAGTATCTCATCTCAGCATGTGCCAGATGAAAGGAACTAGGGAATTCACAATACTGGGGCTTTTCAAAAGTTTGTCGGGCAGTACATAAATGTTTCGATAATAACTTATAATTAATAGTAAGGGATCTTAGGGGCCATTGAGTATTACAAATACACACCAACTGCCCATTTAGGTGTGGCGGAAAAATGACTAATCACCCATCCCCTCTTGGGTTCTACTTTATTAACTGAAAACTTTCATCTTTCTGTGTTCCTTATTGCCAGTAATATTGTTATTCAAATCATAAATTGTAGAATTTGATGAGAGATAATGAGTGGCTGCTTGTAAGCGAGCAAAGGGTGCGAGTAAAATTCAGACTTTTATTCATATATGGTAGTGATAGTGTATTATGTATCTACTGCTGGCATAAAAATGGAGTTTATCAACTTCTCATGTTTTGATTTTTACTCAATTTTTTTATTAGGCCTATCAAATCATTTTGCAGGCTTCATTTGCCATTGGGCCACTGTTTTATAACCGAGTCATAATAGTTATATAAAATAAGAATTCCCTTGCAAAATACAAGTGCCATTACCCTTTTGCATCATCACAAGTAGTATTTGAAAGTGATTCTCTACATTTGTAAAAATCTCTTCCTATAGATGTGAGACCTTGTAGCAGTGACCCATGTCAGAATGGAGGCGCCTGCACCGAGGACGCGACTGGTCAAACCTTTGAATGCATCTGCCCTCTTGGATATGCTGGGACCACCTGTGAATCAGGTAATTGACTGCATTCTGCTGTGAGCGTTGGGTTTGAATGGCACAGTCTTGCACATATTTGAGTATGACAAATGCAATTTTAACAAAAATAATATATTGTAATAGTAGTAACATTTATAAAGCAGTAATATCACTTGATACTTATGTTTCTAATGGCTGTACTTAATTGTTCTTACCCTGGTATTAGCTGATCAGCCATATGAGCTAACAAACCAAAATCTACACAATGGTGGATGCTCATTAGTGCTAATGTAAAACAGGATGAATAGGAACAGACATTAAAAAATCGTTTTCACATGATTTTGTCAAAATGAAAGAAGTAATTATTGGTGTCTGCATCGTGTGGAATGAGGAAGAGTTACATGTAAAATGTTTTGCTTTTCTAATTTTTTTCTGCTTTCATTCACCCAGATGTTCTATTTGACAGTATACGGAATGTGTAATCTATAGCCCTCATAGCCCTGAACTTACTACCTAACTTGCAATAGATGGATTTATTAATAATTCTAGATTCAACTTATTTGTGTTTATAAACAAAAGATTAAAAATAAATAAGTAAATACAAATATCATAACTATAGGACATCATGACCTTAAATTTCATTTCCAACAATTGAGGGATTCGCTCAGTTGGAGACTATGGGTCTTGTAACTGGAAGGTCCTAGGTTTCATACCAAGTCCCTTAGAGAGGACTTAAAGTCCTAGGTCCTCTTTTTAGATATCCTTTCAAAACAATTTCCAGAGCTTAACCAACCATTATGTTCTTTAATAAAAAAAAGAGTACTAGATGATTTATGTTTTGACACGCATGACACGCATGATAATTATTCTTCTACAGGCATGAATGAGTGCACCAGCAGCTCTTGCCAAATTGGCCATTTCATAATGTAATCAAATTTATTGCACAAATCTTTGTTAACTGCCATTTCAATACTGGTAGTGAGAAAGCAAATTGCATTCATTACGTGTTGTTAGGTAGAGCAATCCATAATGTTTGTCCTACCTAGCAACAGTTTATCGGGGCATAGATGTTCATAGTGTTTCTATCAACTGTTAAGCCCCAGTCCCATATAAAGCCGGACCAGCACGGACGAGCACGGACCACTCCGGACCATCCCGGACCATGGTCTGGGGTGATCCGGGATGGTCCGGGATGTTTTGTTCAAAAAAGTGTGATGCTTTTAAGCTACAGTCCCATATACGTCCCGGACCGTCCCGGACCATCCCGGACCCCATCCGGGGTGATCCGGGATTCGGTCCGTGTTGACACCGTGTTGGCACCGGGGTGGTCCTGGATGGTCCTGGATGGTCCTGGGCGGTCAATAACTCACTCCCGGACTGCCACGGATCAACACGGACCGCCCCGGCGCCACTACGGATGACCCCGGACCCAGCACGGTGGCTACACGGATCACCCCGGATCAAACTATTGTCCCGGACCGTCCCGGACCACCCCGGCAGTTTTTGACCGTCAAAAACATCCGGGGTCGACTCCCGGACCGCCCAGGACCATCCAGGACCATCCAGGACCATCCAGGACCATCCAGGACCACCCGGTGCCAACACGGTGTCAACACGGACCGAATCCCGGATCACCCCGGATGGGGTCCGGGATGGTCCGGGACGGTCCGGGACGTATATGGGACTGTAGCTTTACATATATCAAAATCAAACTTTTTGATGTCTTAATCAAACTTTTTTTTCATGAAATTTATTTTTTTCTTAGCTGCCATGCGTTTTTACATTAATTCTAATTGTTATCTATCAGATGTGAATGAGTGCTCCAGCAGCCCTTGTCAGAATGGAGCACAGTGTGTGGATGAGATTGATGGATTCAGATGTGAGTGTACTACAGGATGGTCTGGTACTCTCTGTGACGCAGGTAATGATAATGGATATCCAAGTCCTATACAGTGCGTCCCAGAAAAAACGAAACTGAGAATTATTGATGTTTTATCATAACTTAATCACAATGATAATTAATAAATGACACATGTTTGTAAAGCTTAGATCCTCCTCTTTCATGTGATGCAACTCATGTGATGTAAAATTAATTTGAAGACAGGAAACCCATAAATCATTTGGCGGACGGTATCTGAATTTCAAAGAGAAAATCAAATTTCTTGAAAGTTCAGTTTCTGCCCTTTTATATGACACCTTAATCAGGAAAAATGAGCTAGGATTTACAAAATTCTGTTTGTTTAAAGTAGTGCTTGCATTTCCATAATTTGATTAAACAAATTCATTTTCATTGGCTGCCTGCAGTAGCAACAAACGGAAGTGACAAAAGACTTAACTCTGTTTCATTGAAGATCAGCCATAGACGAAAGACTTCATGCATAGCTGATTGTCAATGAAACAGAGTTAAGTTTTTTGTCAATTCTGAGATGATACTACTTCCAATTATTTGTATATGTAGCAACTTTCTCTCAAACAGTTGTTTTATTACAAGAACTCAACATTTGTTGTCGGAATGAATATGGCATTACATTGAACCAGTTTCGTAATAACCATACCATTTTTGTACATTGCTGTTTGTAATCTGCACTATCTGGGCATTTTCTGTGCATCTTCTTTGCTTCTCATGGTGACAGATATCTTGTATATTTCTTTCCTGCTTGCTTTGTAGACATCGACGAGTGTGCTAGTGCTCCGTGTTTAAATGGAGGGACATGTATGAATACCAATGGTTCCTATGACTGCCAGTGTGACAGAGGGTGGACGGGCCTTAACTGTGAAACACGTAAGTCACACCTTTATCTCCTCAATGATGAGGACTGTCTAGAGCCCACTGCACGCTATACCATCTTTCTGCTATCTGATTAAAAAAAATATTTAAAAAGAAAAAAATGAAGAAAAACAAGTTTCTTGCAATAGATATGCTAAAGTACGATAGTCACCCGAAGAAAATTCACGACAACCGATAATTATGAACGAATCTGCTAGCTGTGTCTTGCATGTGACGTCATGAATCTTGACGCTCTAGAGAGGATCGCTGAAGGCAGACAATCTGGATCTCAAAATTAGCATTTTTGAGAAATGACATATTTTGAAGAGGGAAGTTGTTATATTTGATCAGTAATGCTGGCTTCCCCTTCGCAATGATCTGAATTTTGCATTGATTCAAAGCACTTTTGATTCTTTGGGTGACTACTTTAATTAAAACAAATATCATCTTCATGATTGAAGTGATGAATAATGTTATGAGACATTTTGCAATTTCAACATTTTCTTGTTTCATTTACTAAATTTCAAATGGGTGAAGTTTCCCTGGTGGTGGGGGCAGATGTAATCGTGTCTGTACTACCATGTGCTTTGTAATAGCTACTTGAAGATATCGAATGCAAATGTATTTTCATCATAAAGCAGTGAAACAAAAAGTATCATTCAAGAGGGAAAATGTGAAAAGCATCTTTGCTGATACCTTCATCATTTGATAATATTTATAACTTAGTATAACTGTGTCTATGTAAATGCCTTTCAAAGATTCTGAAACCATTGTCACCACCATGACAATACGCATATATTGTTTCCACATTTTTTATTTACTTACTTGCAAAGCGACTTACTTGCAAAGCGCCGTTTATAATTTCAGATAATAATGATAATAATGATAATAACAATAATAACATTAATAATAGTAATAAAAATAATGATAATGATGATAAGAATTTAGACATTCTTTTGTAGCACATAGATGACATTTTGAATTTTTGCTTACAGCTTGGGATGTTTGTGCAGTTATTCCTTGTCTCAATGGAGGTACTTGTGTGGACTTCCAGACCTTTGGCTTCTGCCTCTGCCCTCCTGGCTACAGTGGTGTCATATGTCAAATTGGTAAGTTTTTGATTCATTGTAAAAAACAGTGGGAAGATACATGTGATGAAGGGGCCGTTTCTGTTATGTTTGAATTTATAAAATAATTGGCACTTGATTAGTGCAGCACTAAAATTGGCAAAATGAATTTCTGTTGAAGTAGTTGAACCAACCCCCTTTGACCTGGCAAGTTTCAGAATTTTCCAAAGACCTAGTTGATTTTCTTTACAAATGCAAGCTGAAAAACTTCTTCTATTGTCTATTTGGAGCCACTGTTAAACGGAAATGCTTTTGTGGCTGTAAATTGACAATATATAGAGTGGGATGATTCTTGATATTTCAATTATTTAACATTGTCCCACACTTCTTCCTTTTAATGTGTACTTGAAAATATGACATGTCAAAGAACTGTGAATTGATTGACTATTTTGATCTGATTCCAGGGCCTACGACTGCAGCACCAACTCCTCCATCAACCACAACTCAAGCACCAAGTACCACTGCACAACCGCCAAGTACCACCACTAAACCTCCAGATGCCACCACACAACCAACAACTACTACTCAACCTCCAGGTACCACAACACAACCATCAACTACCATTCAACCTCAAGGTACCACCACACAGCCAGCAGCTACCACTCAACCTCCAGGTACCACAACACAACCAGCAACTACCATTCAACCTGAAGGTACCACCACACAGCCAGCAGCTACCACTCAACCTCCAGGTACCACAACACAACCAGCAACTACCATTCAACCTCAAGGTACCACCACACAGCCAGCAGCTACCACTCAACCTCCAGGTACCACAACACAACCAGCAACTACCATTCAACCTGAAGGTACCACCACACAGCCAGCAGCTACCACTCAACCTCCAGGTACCACAACACAACCAGCAACTACCATTCAACCTCAAGGTACCACCACACAGCCAGCAGCTACCACTCAACCTCCAGGTACCACAACACAACCAGCAACTACCATTCAACCTGAAGGTACCACCACACAGCCAGCAGCTACCACTCAACCTCCATTTACCACAACACAACCAGCAACTACCATTCAACCTCAAGGTACCACCACACAGCCATCAGCTACCACTCAACCTCCAGGTACCACAACACATTCAGCAACTACCATTCAACCTGAAGGTACCACCACACAGCCAGCAGCTACCACTCAACCTCCAGGTACCACAACACAACCAGCAACTACCATTCAACCTGAAGGTACCACCACACAGCCATCAGCTACCACTCAATCGCTAGGTACCACCACTCAACAAGCAACAACCATTCAACCAGAACGTACCACCACCCAATCAGCAACTACCACTCAATCAGCAGGTACCACTTCAGAACCAGCAACTACCACTCAACCCCCAAGTACAACGACACTACCAGTAACTACCACCCAAATGCCTGATACTTCCACAACGCTACCAAATACAGAACCTGCCACGACTTCAGCAAGAGCTACCACAATATCAATGTCCACTACTCAAAATGTGCCTGCCAGCTCTACAACTACTCGTCTTATGTCTACCTCATCAGCGACTACTATAGTGACAACAGAAAGTGTTCCGGAGACCTCTCCAGAGGGTAGACCTAGTACTCAAGGGGCCTCTAAGCCCACCTCAATATCCACAGGTGATCCTGCAACAAGTCCAACTGTTGTAGGCACAGAGCCATCTTCTACTGGTGAAATAACACCCAATCCACAAAGCACAGTTGTTACAGAGGCAGGTAGTACAGCAAGTGGAAACACAGCATCTACTGATTTGTCATCAGCAAGAACAACTGATGAGTCAGGATCAAGTGCAATACAAACAGAGAGAACTGAATCAGAGGTTGGGTCCACATTGGGACAAACATCGCACTCTTTTTCAACCAAAGGTGGTGGAACAGGGTCACCAGATACTGCAGAACAGACCAGTTTTCTGCCAACTTCAGTTACAACTTCCAGCGTCATGGAAACAACTGAGGCAGGAAATCTTGGTACAACTTTTCAGAGTCAGACCACTGTTGTCAGTGACGGTCCCCAAGGAGCAACAACCCTTGGTGATCAATCGACCATATCTCAAACTACAGAGCAACAACAGCTAGTATCAACTATAAGGACAATGTTATCAACAGCTGCAACTGGAGGATTAACTACCGACTTCTCAGAAATCACCACTCAGTTTTTTCCAATCTTTACTACATTAGAGGAAGCAGAAATGTCATCATTTGCTGTGACTGGAACATTTACCACTGTTGCTGAAGTGACTACTTTGGCAGCTGGAGGAACTACTAAAGCTGATGAAAGTACAACAGAACAAGGGATGGCAACCACTCGGGGAGATGACAGCGCTACAGTTTCTGAAGAGGCCACCACTCTTAATACTCTTGGTGTTACTAATGTAACATCAGGGTTAGAGGTATCTTCATCAGGAGGAATAAGTGGACCTGAAACCACAACATTACTTTCTAGAGGTAGTACATCGACAAAATTGATGAGAACATCTGAGGCAGCAGGAGGATCTACCACTTCTCAAGAGGTTAACACAGTCACTGCAGTTAGAACTGTGACCTCTGAAGATCAAGCTACCACTTCAGCATCCGACGTGACCAGTACTGAAGCAAGAGCAACATCATCTGGCTCAGAGTATACCTCAACTGGAGATAATAGTCTTACAAGCATGGAAGCCACAATCACTTCTCAAAAGGGCAGCACAAGTAGTGCAGTAAGAACAGTTACCTCTGAAGATGAAAATACCACTTCAGCATTAGGTGTGACAGGTACTGAAGCAAGAGCAACTTCGTCTGGCTCCTCTGGTGTAACCACTATTCAAGAGGCTGAAGTCACCTCATCACCTAGACAGGCAACTACAGAATCTAGTGGAACTACTGCATCTAAAGAAGGAAGTACATTATCTGGAGAAGCCACTACAGTTGGAGTGACCCCAGTTGAGATCACTTCTGAGAAAGCTACTTCACCATCTGAAGTGACCAAATCTGTTGTAGAAGGCACTACCACATTCAGAGAAACCATTGTCACAACTCTGGAAGCTGAATTAACTTCCAAGAGAGAGATGGCCACAACTGGAGAAAATCTTACGAGCTTGGGAGCCACAGTCACTTCTCAAGAGGAAACCATAAGTAGTGCAGTAAGAACAGTTACCTCTGAAGATGAAGATACCACTTCAGCATTAGGTGTGACAGGTACTGAAGCAAGAGCAACCCCATCTGGCTCTTCTGGTCTAACCACTATTCAAGAGGCTGAAGTCACCTCATCAGCTGGACAGGCAACTACAGGATCTAATGAAAGTACAGCATCTGAAGAAGGAAGTACAGTGCCTGGGGAAGCCACTACAGTTGGAGTGACCCCAGTTGAGATCACTTCTGAGAAAGCTACTTCACCATCTGAAGGGACCACTTCTGTTGTAGAAGGCACTACCACATTCAGAGAAACCATTGTCACAACTCTGGAAGCTGAATTAACTTCCAAGAGAGAGATGGCCACAACTGGAGAAAATCTTACAAGTATGGAATTTAAAGTCACTTCTCAAGTGGGCAGCACAAGTAGTACAGTATTAACAGGTACGGAATCAAGAGCAACCTCATCTGGGTCTTCTGGTCGAACCACTATTCAAGAGGCTGAAGTCACCTCATCAACTGGACAGGCAACCACAAGGTCTAGTGGAACTACAGCATCTGAAGAGGGAAGTACAGTGACTGGGGAAGCCACTACAGTTGTAGTAACCCCAGTAGAGATCACTTCTGAGAAAGCTACTTCACCATCTTCAGGGACCACATCTGTTGTAGAAGGAACTACCACATTAAGAGAAACCATTGTCACAACTCTGGAAGCTGAATTAACTTCCAAGAGAGAGATGGCCACAACTGGAGAAGATCTTACGAGCTTGGGAGCCACAGTCACTTCTCAAAAGGGCAGCACAAGTAGTGCAGTAAGAACAGTGACCTCCGAATATGAAGATACCACTTCAACATTAGGTGTGACAGGTACTGAAGCAAGAGCAACTTCGTCTGGCTCCTCTGGTTTAACCACTATTCAAGAGGTCACCTCATCAGCTGGACAGGCAACTACAGAATCTAGTGGAAGTACTGCATCTAAACAAGGAAGTACAGCCATTGAGCAGGCTACTTCTAGTGCAACTACTGCATCTGAAGAAAGAATTACATTGACTGGGGAAGCCACTACAGTTGGAGGGACCCCAATGGAGATCACATCTGAGGAAGGTACTTCACCATCTGGAGGGACCACATCTGTTGTAGAAAGCACCACATCTGTTGTAGAAGGCACTACCACATTAGGAGGAACCATTGTCACAACTCTGGAAGCTGCATTAACTTCTAAGAGAGAGATGGCCACAACTGGAGAAGATCTTACGAGCTTGGGAGCCACAGACACTTCTCAAGAAGAAAACACAAGTAGTGCAGTAAGAACAGTGACCTCTGAATATGAAGATACCACTTCAACATTAGGTGTGACAGGTACTGAAGCAAGAGCAACCTCATCTGGCTCCTCTGGTCTAACCACTATTGAAGAGGCTGAAGTAACCTCATCAGCTGGACAAGCAACTACAGAATCTAGTGGAACTACTGCATCTAAAGAAGGAAGTACAGTCATTGAACAGGCTACTTCTAGTGGAACTACGATACCTGTAGAGGGAAGTACGATCATTGAAGAAGCCTCTACAGTTCGGATGACCACAGTAGAGATCACTTCTGAGGAAGCTACTTCATCAGCTAAAGGGATCACATCTGTGGCAGAAGACACTTCTACCTTGGAGGTTACCCAAGTTACAACTCTTGAAGTTACCGTAACTTCTAAGCGAAAGATGACTACAACTGGAGAAGATCTTACGAGCCTGGGATCCACTTCTCAAGAGGAAAACACAAGTAGTGTAGTAAGAACAGTTACCTCTGAAGTCACCACATCTTCTGGACAGACAACCGTAGAATCTAGTGGAACTTCTGCCTCTCAACCTGTAAGCACTGTAGAGACTTCAAGGCAAACTACATCGGGAGATATACAAACTACTTTGGGAGAGTTTACACGCTTGGAAACAGGAGTTTCTGCTGGTTCAGAGAGTATTACACCAGTCGACACTACCAGTACCACAGATGTTTCAGGGACAACCAGAGAAAATGAGGTGTCAACTAATGCTGAAGCGACCACACCTGAAGGAGACACATATACATATACTCCCTCAACAGAAAATACTGTCTCTTCTGAAGCTGTTACTTCACCAGCAGCACAAGTCACAACATCAGAAGCAGAAGCCTCAACATCAGTAGAAGGCACTATGTCTACCAGAGTAACAGCAAGTTTTGCACCTGATAATGCTAGTGTTGTAACAGATATGACATCAAATGCAGGTAGCAATGCAACACTTGTCCCTGCAACAGAAAAAGACTCAACTACGTTATTAGAGGAAGCCACTTCTCAGGAAGAAATTACTGCTTCAGTTACATCATTTACTGTTCTTTCAACAGAAAGTGGAACAACGGAAGGGACATCACCAGAAATTCCATCAAGTCCTACAGATATCACTTCTGGCTCTACTGAGACATTTAGCATTGCACCGGTAACTTCTCAATACCAGTCTACGACAGAGGAAGAGGAAAAGGTAACATCAAGACTGGTATATAGCACAACTGGGATTCCTGAAACACCTCTAGGTACCACATCAGCCTACCAATCTTCCACAGAGGTAGAGGAACTTACTGAAGCAGTTAAACCCACAACTTTTGAGGAAGAAATGACATCACATTACCAGTCTACAACAAAGGGAGTTACTGAGACAGTAAGAACTACACCTTTTGAAGAAGAAATTACAGAGCCTGAAAAAATGACAACAGACTTAACTGAGACACCTGGTGCTGGTAAAGCAACTTCACAGTACAATTCTACAACAGAGGAAGATACTGATGCAATAAGAACTACATATTTTGATGAAGAGTTAACATCGCAGTACCAGTTTACCACAAGGGAAGAGGAAGTTACTGAATTAATAAGGACTACACCTTTTTTTGAGGAAGAGGCAACACCAAGTTCTGCAGATATCACATCAAATTTTACTGGAACACCTGGACCTGGAACTTCACAATTCCAGTCTACAACAGAGGAAGTTACTGAAGCTGTAAGAACCACAAGATTTGGTGATGAAGTAACAACGAAGTCTGAAGAGATGGCTACAGAATTTATTGAGACACCCAATATTGGAACTGGAACTTCACAATACCAGTCCACAACAGAAGAAGTTACTGAAGCAAGTACACCATTTGAGGTCACACCTCAATCCAAATCTACCACAGAGGAAGCTACAGAACCAATAAGTGCCACAGGTTTTGTAGAAGAAGTGACAACAGAGTCAAAACAAATGACAACTCAATTACCAGTGACACCTGGTGTTGTTGTCACAGAGGAAGGGGTAATATCGGAATTTAAATCTACCACAGAGGAAACTACAGAACCTGTGAGAACTACAACTTTGGTTGAAGTAACAACAAAATCTGAAAAAATTACTGCTGAATTTACTACCACCACCGATGTTGGAACTGGGACATCACAAGACCGGTTTACTACTACTACTGAAGAAGTTACTGGTTCGGTCCTAACCACATCTTTTGTGGGAGAGGAAACTTCGCAATCGAACTCCAGCACAGGACAAGCTACAGTGCCAGTAACAACCACAAGTCTTGTTGAAGTAACAACAGAGTCTGATGATATGACAACTGATTTTACAGAGACACCTGGTGTCGAAACTGAAGAAGCTACAGAACATGTAAGAACAACAAGCTTGGTTGAAGTTACAACAGAGTCTGATAAAATATCAACTAAATTTACGGAGACAACAAGTGTTGACACAGAAGAAGCTACAGAAGCAGTAAAAACGACAGGTCTTGTTGAAGTAACAACATTTTCTGAGAAAACGACAACTGAATTTACAGAGACACCTGGTGTTGACACAGAAGAACCTACAGAACCAGTAAAAACCACAGGTCTTGTTGAAGTAACAACATTTTCTGAGGAAATGACAACTGAATTTCCAGAGACAACAAGTGTTGACACAGAAGAAGCTACAGAACCAGAAAGAACAACAAGCCTTGTTGAAGTAACGACAGAGTCTGAGAAAACGACAACTGAATTTCCAGAGACAACAAATGTTGACAGAGAAGAAGCTACTGAACCAGTAAGAACAACAAGCCTTGTTGATGTAACAACAGAGTCTGAGAAAACGACAACTGAATTTACAGAGACACCTGGTGTTGAAACTGAAAAAGCTACAGAACCAGTGAGAACAACAAGCCTTGTTGATGTAACCACAGATTCTGAGGAAATGACAACTGAATTTACGGAGACAACAAGTGTTAACACAGAAGAAGCTACAGAACCAGTAAGGACCACAGATCTTGTTGAAGTAACAACAGATTCTGAGGAATTGACAACTGAATTTACAAAATCAACAAGTGTTGACACAGAAGAAGCTACAGAACCAGTGAGAACAACAATCCTTGTTGATGTAACAACAGAGTCTGATGATATGACAACTGAATTTCCAGGGACAACAAGTGTTGACACAGAAGAAGCTACTGAACCAGTAAGAACAACAAGCCTTGTTGATGTAACAACAGATTCTGAGGAAATGACAACTGAATTTCCAGAGACAACAAGTGTTGACACAGAAGAAGCTACAGAACCAGAAAGAACAACAAGCCTTGTTGAAGTAACGACAGAGTCTGAGAAAACGACAACTGAATTTCCAGAGACAACAAATGTTGACAGAGAAGAAGCTACTGAACCAGTAAGAACAACAAGCCTTGTTGATGTAACAACAGAGTCTGAGAAAACGACAACTGAATTTACAGAGACACCTGGTGTTGAAACTGAAAAAGCTACAGAACCAGTGAGAACAACAAGCCTTGTTGATGTAACCACAGATTCTGAGGAAATGACAACTGAATTTACAGAGACAACAAGTGTTAACACAGAAGAAGCTACAGAACCAGTAAGGACCACAGATCTTGTTGAAGTAACAACAGATTCTGAGGAATTGACAACTGAATTTACAAAATCAACAAGTGTTGACACAGAAGAAGCTACAGAACCAGTGAGAACAACAATCCTTGTTGAAGTAACAACAGAGTCTGATGATATGACGACTGAATTTACAGAGACAACAAGTGTTGACACAGAAGAAGCTACAGAACCAGTGAGAACAACGAGCCTTGTTGATGTAACAACAGATTCTGAGAAAATGACAACTGAATTTCCAGGGACAACAAGTGTTGACACAGAAGAAGCTACTGAACCAGTAAGAACAACAAGCCTTGTTGATGTAACAACAGATTCTGAGGAAATGACAACTGAATTTCCAGAGACAACAAGTGTTGACACAGAAGAAGCTACAGAACCAGAAAGAACAACAAGCCTTGTTGAAGTAACGACAGAGTCTGAGAAAACGACAACTGAATTTCCAGAGACAACAAATGTTGACAGAGAAGAAGCTACTGAACCAGTAAGAACAACAAGCCTTGTTGATGTAACAACAGAGTCTGAGAAAACGACAACTGAATTTACAGAGACACCTGGTGTTGAAACTGAAAAAGCTACAGAACCAGTGAGAACAACAAGCCTTGTTGATGTAACCACAGATTCTGAGGAAATGACAACTGAATTTACGGAGACAACAAGTGTTAACACAGAAGAAGCTACAGAACCAGTAAGGACCACAGATCTTGTTGAAGTAACAACAGATTCTGAGGAATTGACAACTGAATTTACAAAATCAACAAGTGTTGACACAGAAGAAGCTACAGAACCAGTGAGAACAACAATCCTTGTTGATGTAACAACAGAGTCTGATGATATGACGACTGAATTTACAGAGGCAACAAGTGTTGACACAGAAGAAGCTACAGAACCAGTTAGAACAACGAGCCTTGTTGATGTAACAACAGATTCTGAGAAAATGACAACTGAATTTACAGAGACACCTGGTGTTGAAACTGAAGAAGCTACAGAACCAGTAAGAACCACAGGTCTTGTTGAAGTAACAACAGGTTCTGAGGAAATGGCAACTGAATTTACAGAAACACCTGGTGTTGAAACTGAAGAAGCTACAGAACCAGTAAGAACAACAAGCCTTGTTGATGTAACAACAGATTCTGAGGAAATGACAACTGAATTTACGGAGACACCTGGTGTTGAAACTGAAGAAGCTACAGAACCAGTGAGAACAACAAGCCTTGTTGATGTAACCACAGATTCTGAGGAAATGACAACTGAATTTACAGAGACAACAAGTGTTGACACAGAAGAAGCTACAGAACCAGAAAGAACAACAAGCCTTGTTGAAGTAACGACAGAGTCTGAGAAAACGACAACTGAATTTACAGAGACAACGGGTGTTAACACAGAAGAAGCTACAGAACCAGTAAGGACCACAGGTCTTGTTGAAGTAACAACAGATTCTGAGGAATTGACAACTGAATTGACAGAGACAACAAGTGTTGACACAGAAGAAGCTACAGAAACAGAAAGAACAACAAGCCTTCTTGAAGTAACGACAGAGTCTGAGAAAACGACAACTGAATTTACAGAGACAACGGGTGTTAACACAGAAGAAGCTACAGAACCAGTAAGGACCACAGGTCTTGTTGAAGTAACAACAGATTCTGAGGAATTGACAACTGAATTTACAAAATCAACAAGTGTTGACACAGAAGAAGCTACAGAACAAGTGAGAACAACAATCCTTGTTGATGTAACAACAGAGTCTGGTGATATGACGACTGAATTTACGGAGACAACAAGTGTTGAAACTGAAGAAGCTACAGAACCAGTGAGAACAACAAGCCTTGTTGATGTAACCACAGATTCTGAGGAAATGACAATTGAATTTACAGAGACAACAAGTGTTGACACAGAAGAAGCTACAGAACCAGAAAGAACAACAAGCCTTGTTGAAGTAACAACAGAGTCTGAGAAAACGACAACTGAATTTACAGAGACAACGGGTGTTAACACAGAAGAAGCTACAGAACCAGTGAGGACCACAGATCTTGTTGAAGTAACAACAGATTCTGAGGAATTGACAACTGAATTTACAAAATCAACAAGTGTTGACACAGAAGAAGCTACAGAACCAGTGAGAACAACAATCCTTGTTTATGTAACAACAGAGTCTGATGATATGACGACTGAATTTACAGAGGCAACAAGTGTTGACACAGAAGAAGCTACAGAACCAGTGAGAACAACGAGCCTTGTTGATGTAACAACAGATTCTGAGAAAATGAAAACTGAATTTACAGAGACACCTGGTGTTGAAACTGAAGAAGCTACAGAGCCAGTAAGAACCACAGGTCTTGTTGAAGTAACAACAGGTTCTGAGGAAATGGCAACTGAATTTACAGAAACGCCTGGTGTTGAAACTGAAGAAGCTACAGAACCAGTGAGAACAACGAGCCTTGTTGATGTAACAACAGATTCTGAGAAAATGACAACTGAATTTCCAGAGACAACAAGTGTTGACACAGAAGAAGCTACTGAACCAGTAAGAACAACAAGCCTTGTTGATGTAACAACAGATTCTGAGGAAATGACAACTGAATTTCCAGAGACAACAAGTGTTGACACAGAAGAAGCTACAGAACCAGAAAGAACAACAAGCCTTGTTGAAGTAACGACAGAGTCTGAGAAAACGACAACTGAATTTCCAGAGACAACAAGTGTTGACACAGAAGAAGCTACTGAACCAGTAAGAACAACAAGCCTTGTTGATGTAACAACAGAGTCTGAGAAAACGACAACTGAATTTACAGAGACACCTGGTGTTGAAACTGAAGAAGCTACAGAACCAGTGAGAACAACAAGCCTTGTTGATGTAACCACAGATTCTGAGGAAATGACAATTGAATTTACAGAGACAACAAGTGTTGACACAGAAGAAGCTACAGAACCAGAAAGGAGAACAAGCCTTGTTGAAGTAACAACAGAGTCTGAGAAAACGACAACTGAATTTATAGAGACAACGGGTGTTAACACAGAAGAAGCTACAGAACCAGTGAGGACCACAGATCTTGTTGAAGTAACAACAGATTCTGAGGAATTGACAACTGAATTTACAAAATCAACAAGTGTTGACACAGAAGAAGCTACAGAACCAGTGAGAACAACAATCCTTGTTTATGTAACAACAGAGTCTGATGATATGACGACTGAATTTACAGAGGCAACAAGTGTTGACACAGAAGAAGCTACAGAACCAGTGAGAACAACGAGCCTTGTTGATGTAACAACAGATTCTGAGAAAATGACAACTGAATTTACAGAGACACCTGGTGTTGAAACTGAAGAAGCTACAGAGCCAGTAAGAACCACAGGTCTTGTTGAAGTAACAACAGGTTCTGAGGAAATGGCAACTGAATTTACAGAAACGCCTGGTGTTGAAACTGAAGAAGCTACAGAACCAGTGAGAACAACGAGCCTTGTTGATGTAACAACAGATTCTGAGAAAATGACAACTGAATTTACAAAGACACCTGGTGTTGAAACTGAAGAAGCTACAGAACCAGTAAGAACCACAGGTCTTGTTGAAGTAACAACAGAGTCTGAGAAAACGACAACTGAATTAACAGAGACACCTGGTGTTGAAACTGAAGAAGCTACAGAACCAGTAAGAACAACAAGCCTTGTTAAAGTAACAACAGAGTCTGATGATATGACGACTGAATTTACAGAGACAATGGGTGTTAACACAGAAGAAGCTACAGAACCAGTGAGAACAACAAGCCTTGTTGATGTAACAACAGAGTCTGATGATATGACGACTGAATTTACAGAGACAACGGGTGTTAACACAGAAGAAGCTACAGGATCAGTGATAACAACAAGCCTTGTTGAAGTAACAACAGAGTCTGATAAAATGTCTACTGAATTTACAGAATCAACAAGTGTTGAGGCAGCTACAGAGTTGGTAACAAAATCACCATTCCAGTCTACAACAGAGCAGTCTACTGAAGAAGTAAGGAGTACACCGCTTGAGAAAGAAGTAACTTCGCAATATTCAACTAGTGAAGTGGAAGTTACTGGAGCAGCAAAGAGTACTACTGTTTTTGAGGAAGTAACAACAAATCCAGTAGGAATTATGACAAGTACCACTCAGGGTGACAAAATTACTACTGAGGAAATTGTTACAACAGTAGATGTAAATCCATCATCGCGAGGACCATCAGGCTCAACAGAAGCTCCTGTAGCATCTACAGGTAGTCTTGCCTCTACGATGGAAGCTGAAAAGACAACTCAAGGTGAAAGTACCTCTACCAAGGGAACAGTTACAACAGTAAAAATAAATCCTTCATCTGAGGGACCAGGAGCATCTACAGATGTAGTAGTTGTTACTACAAGAATAGTTGCTTCTACTGAAGAGGATGTAACCACCACTCAAGGTGAAGGTGCTACTACAGAGGAAACAGTTACAACAGTACAAGTAAGCCTTTCATCTGAGGTACCACTAGGATCTACCAATGTTCCTTTAGCTACCACAAGAGGTGCTGTCTCTACAGCAGAATCTACAAGCACCACTGACTTTGAAAGTGCTACCACCAAGGAAACGGGCACAACTAGACAAACAAACCCTTCAACTGACAGACCAGAAGGATCTACAGAATCTCCTGTAACTTCTACAGGTGGTGTTGCTTCTACAGTTGTAGCTAAAGGAACCACTCAAAGTGAAGGTACTACGACCAAAGGAACAGCTACAACTAGACAAACAAACCCTGCCACTGAGGAACCAGCAGGTTCTACAGAAGCTCCTTCATCTGAGGGACCAGTGGGATCTACAAAAGTTACTGCAGCTTCTACAGACAACGTTGCTTCTACACAGGAACCTGAAGGAACCACCCAAGGTGAAAGTGGTACTACCAATGAAATGGCTACAGCCAGACAAACTAACCCCGGCACTGAGGGACCATTCGGATCTACAATAGTTACTGCAGCTTCTACAGAACATGTTGCTACTACACAGAAACCTGTAGGAACCACCCAAGGTGAAAGTGTTACAACCAAAGAAATGGCTACAGCCAGACAAACGACCTCTGCCACCGAGAGACCAGTAGGTTCTACAAAAGCTACTGTAGCTACCACAATAGTTGTTGCTACTACACAGGAACCTGAAGGAACCACCCAAGGTGAAAATGTTACCACCAAAGACATGGCTACAGCCAAACAAACGACCTCTGTCACTGAGAGACCAGTAGGTTCTACAGAAGCTACTGTAGCTACCACAATAGTTGTTGATACTACGCAGGAACTTAAAGGAACCACCCAATTTGAAAGTGGTACCACCAAAAAAATGACTACAACCAGTCAAACAAAACCTGCAACTGACAGTCCAGTAGGTTCTACAGAAGCTACTGTAGCTACCACAATAGTTGTTGCTACTACACAGGAACCTGAAGGAACCACCCAAGGTGAAAATGTTACCACCAAAGACATGGCTACAGCCAAACAAACGACCTCTGTCACTGAGAGACCAGTAGGTTCTACAGAAGCTACTGTAGCTACCACAATAGTTGTTGCTACTACACAGGAACCTGAAGGAACCACCGAAGGTGAAAGTGGAACCACCAATGAAATGGCTACAGCCAAACAAACAACCTCTGTCACTGAGAGACCAGTAGGTTCTACAGAAGCTACTGTAGCTACCACAATAGTTGTTGCTACTACACAGGAACCTGAAGGAACCACCCAAGGTGAAAATGTTACCACCAAAGACATGGCTACAGCCAAACAAACAACCTCTGTCACTGAGAGACCAGTAGGTTCTACAGAAGCTACTGTAGCTACCACAATAGTTGTTGCTACTACACAGGAACCTGAAGGAACCACCCAAGGTGAAAGTGAAACCACCAATGAAATGGCTACAGCCAGACAAACAACCCCTATCACTGAGAGACCAGAAGGTTCTACAGAAGCTACTGTAGCTACCACAATAGTTGTTACCACTACACAGGAACCTAAAGGAACCACCCAAGATGAAAGTGGTACCACCAAAGAAATGGCTACAGCCAAACAAACGACCTCTGTCACTGAGAGACCAATAGGTTCTACAGAAGCTACTGTAGCTACCACAATAGTTGTTGATACTACGCAGGAACTTAAAGGAACCACCCAATTTGAAAGTGGTACCACCAAAAAAATGACTACAACCAGTCAAACAAAACCTGCAACTGACAGTCCAGTAGGTTCTACAGAAGCTAATGTAGCTACCACAATAGTTGTTGCTACTACACAGGAACCTAAAGGAACCACCCAAGGTGAAAGTGGTACTACCAGAGAAATGGCTACAGCCAGACAAACGACCTCTGTCACTGAGAGACCAGTAGGTTCCACAGAAGCTACTGTAGCTACCACAATAGTTGTTACCACTACACAGGAACCTAAAGGAACCACCCAAGATGAAAGTGGTACCACCAAAGAAATGGTTACAACCAGACAAACAAAACCTGCAACTGACAGTCCAGCAGGATCCACAAAAGCTTCCTCAGGAACCACTAGAGATCACCAAGCAACAACCAGTCCACAATCCAGAACTATCAGTGAATCAGATGTAACAACAACATCTTCTCCCTCCTTCACCACTTCACAGACGATGAATATGACAAACATAACAAGTCCAATACCTGTGCCATGTAAGTCTGTGATTATTTTCTGTATCTTATGATAAAAGAAATATTGGTTCTCCTCTAATCATGAAGGAGATTGCAAGGGAATTGTCTAAGTTAGATATACAACAGGCACTACAAAAGGTGTGTTCATTGAACAACTCTTGTTTGACACTTGTTGCAATATACTATTCTGAAGTATTGTTATAACGCATAAATTAAAAGGAGTCATGTCAGTGCCAGCAATCATATTGAAAGTTCTGCAGGGATTGCCACTTCATATTTTAACCGCCACCAATAAGTGTTTATAAAATCATTCTTTTTATTGTTAGCACGATTTGTCTTTATACCTAGTATATCTTGATTGGTGAAATTTGCATGTACGTAGATATCTATCTAAAGATTCAATATTGATGAAAAATTTCAAAGATTCAAAACATATAATAGACAACCAACAGAGTACTAGAATTAAAAATTCACAGGGGTTTCCCCTACTCTTAAATGAATAGTGCAGTGGGTTCTTAATGTGCTTTACGCTTTATGCTTTACCTCATTATTTTCTCTTCCATCTTTCGCCATCGATTTGCAGATACCGAGGTGGTAAGAGCTACGGCTACAATTCTGGAATTGAATGGGGATGAAGCCTTTCTTTCGGTGCCACTTCAAGACCCTACAAACCCAGTCTTCCTCAACTTCCAAGCGGCCCTCTGCAATGCAGTAAGTCACAAAAACAGGAATTGAACAAAAAACAATATCTTGTTTTCATCTATGTTTGCGTTTCAGACAAGATTTAGAATTATTATTCAGTATTTAAAATATAATGATGCAAATTCTGCTCAGGAGTTATGGACAAATCAAATACTGAACAAAATATTGCTCTGCATAATAGGGGATATTATTGGGATCACCTGGATATTAAAGTCCTCTGGTTACTGACCTGTAAAAAGCAAATTTGCTACAGTAACTTCCTCTCTATAGAGATGTCTTCTATTGCTTCGCTCGAAGAATGTTTCTAATTCAACATTCAAACCTATGTTGAAATACTGCCTTCCTTTTACCAGGACAGATTCTCTTATATCTCTTACGATGTGACTCAGATGATTATACATCTCATCCATTGATATTTGCTGAGGGCATTTTTTGGTCACAGATATAGGGTTGGAACTTGGGCTGCTATTTTGTTTTAGGTTAGGTTAAGAGTAATGTACACGTACATGCATTGTGTAGAGTCAAGAAGTTAGGAATTCATTCATGAAAGTGCATGCATTGCGACTCTACATGTATGGTAGCTCTCAAGTGAAAAACAGAGCATCAACATCGTTATTATCCATGTCTCATCCATGATTCTTTCTGTCTCCAGCTGTTCGAATACTTCCAAGACTTGTCCTTCGATACAAACGGCATCCAGTGCAGTGTTACGAACCTAGTGAATGGCAGCATTATCGCATCCGTAGAGTTCAACGTGACAGACGTCAATCAGGAGGGGGCGCTAGTCACTGCAGAAAACATCTTCAATGCCCAGTTCATGTCCGAAGCGTTTCTGATCGACTCGAGGAGCAGGAATGTCTTTACATTTGCACGCTTCTTGGTGGACGGTGAGTTAACAATGTAGCATTGATGGTTTTTTCTTCTTTTTTTTCTTCTCTCTTTACCTCATACAAGGCATTTTATTACTTTATATCATTTTTACAACATTGCATATAGAGTTTGATCAACAGACTGATAAAATTAAATAGATAGAAAAAAAGAAAGTGGAAGAGAAAGATCACGGCATGAATAAAAATGCGTTAAAGGCTCAACTACGAAAGATACATCTTGATATTACTTATTACTTTTCTTGGTTTCTGTATTGCCAATTGACATCAAACATAAAAAAAAAAAATCGCTTTTGAAAGTCATCCAAATTGAATGACTTGATATTTATAAAACTGTTTTGACAAACATTTCAAGTTCAAATAGATGGCGTAGACATGCTCTCATAGATTAACTGGTGATGAAAGACAAACATACGGTACTCTCAAATTATTGAATGGTATGATAGATTGCTGGAGGCACTGTCGTTTAGGGAGTCAGTCTCTCAGCTTTCACTCAAGATCAGGCTGGAGAATAGAGATGTTGTGGTCTAGTGGATACGTCGCCGGACTGTCGATCACAAGTCCGCGGTTCTAGTCCCGTCGCAGCACTATAATGTCCTTTGGCAAAACATTGATCTACATTTGCCACATTCTACCCAGGCGATGTACATGGGCACCTGGCAGGAATTAATTCCTTGAAATGCTAGAGCACCGTAATGGCAACCGTGCTAAAGCCAGGGTAATAATTGGGATCCCTCTGTGCCTCAGAATAGTTTACTAGATCGATGGCGCATAACAAATGCTGTATATTATATCCTTATACAAGGCTTCTCATCCATATTTGTACATGTATACCTAATAGACCAGTTCATGGTTAGCACATTACTCTGCAATGACCCCGAATATCCACAGATCTTCAAAACATGAAGAGGTCCCACTTTGTACATTGTGAAATAATCACTCCTATAGCGATAGAGGTGCTACATAAATAGCCTTTGTTTCCCCTTTTCAAAGAATACTTCCACCTATGTATCATGGAGTGCACTGAATGTGCATGAATGAATAATGAATACATAACTTTCATGAACACGTATCCAGTATTTCGTCTCTGTGTATTTCAAAATTTGTTCTGCAATGACCTTTATCTGCTCATGCTCAGACTACAACCGTGAACTGGCTTATTGTACAGTGTGTTTTCTTTGCCAGTGTATTAGGGAAAAGAAGATAATGGTGACACAAATCTATTGGGATGTAGATATCAAAAGGGGAAACTTGTGGGGGGAAGAACGTGTGCTATAAAACTGTCCTGGATCTTTGCATATTGTTACAGTGTGCTATTTTGTACAGTCGCATGTTCATCATTGTAAATGCATGTTGGCCAGAATTTTGTAATAATGCATGTTAAGACAATTACCTCACAATTACCTCACATCACAAGAAACTGTTTTGTTTATTTACATCAAGCGTTATTATTTATATATATTTTATTATTATATTTCCAGGTGTAGATGTATGTGGGCTAGAGACACCCTGTCTCAATGGAGGGACTTGTCGTGGACTTGGCTACAATTCATTCATGTGTCTGTAAGTAATCAAATGGTCACTACTTGTACATGAGTACTGGTTACTGTAGAGGAATGGGTGAAAAATCACTGGTCCTAGTGTCCTATTGAACAAACATAATGTAGGCAACCATGTTAGTAATATATACACCAATGTCAAAATCTCTTTGTCTTATTTTTTTCTGTAAAAGTGGTATTTAGAAATCAATTATTTTATATTTTGCTATGTCAGCCAAGCCAGATTGTTAACTGTGGCAGTCAGTAGGAGGTACATGTATATACTGGTTTTAATTAATTAATAAAAAAGGAAAACTATTGCTACCTCCTTGTATTTGGGGGGAGGGGGGCTCATAATCAAAAATGGTGAGCAAAAGTACTGCTACCCGATATATTTATGAGCCTAACTTTAGATACTGGTGATCTATTAATCATCATTGTACTGATTTTATGCACCTTTTATGTATTGTATATATAATGATTTTGTTGTTTCCCGTTCATGATATTTTCTGAGTGTCGGTGTCCTTGAAAGCAAACTGTTGAGTAGGGTGGTGGTGGTGGTTATTTTATCTGTTTGCTAAGAAAGCGTAAATGCTTGTTAGTAAGCAACCAGATGGCCAAGGGCTTTAGGTCCTCTCCGAGGGACCTGCTAATGAGGATTAATGCCTTACCAAAGGGCACTAGCGCATCGAACCCGGGTCACCGGATTACGAGACCACTGCTCTACCAACTGAGCTACCGCGCCTCCTCGATGGAGACCCAGAGTCCTAATCATCTACCTTAGATCATATATCTCAGGATCCGGTAACTTTAATGTCTCAGATTCTGAAACAAAATCCTGGATTTAGCTCATGCTGCAATCATAATTATAAACCTTTAGGTCAGTCAGGAACCCCATGACTTTTACAAGCCGATCGCCTGTCTGATTATCAAGATATTTATGATTGGAAATCGAAACTAAATTTTGCGTTTTCCTAACGGTTTTCATAACAATACAGTCTATTGGGGAAAACAATATGGTAAAACCGGTCACTCAAAGATTTTTACTTTTTTGAGGCACTTCTTGATAATTTTGAAGCGCAATTTTTTAGGGCTTCAATATTACACCATATCACAGACACTGATAAGACGTCGGGCCGTGCATCTCAGATTTAACATTGTTAAACGATACCAATGATTTACTCATCTTTATGTCTATGCAGGTGTCCTGATGGATGGTCGGGTGATACGTGTGAAAATGGTGAGATTTTTCAATTTTTAACTTATATTGTTGAAGAGGGTTATACAGTAAAACCTGTCTAAAGCGACAGGGTTCTTAGCAAACAAGTGGCCTCTGTAGTGGCCTTTGTAGACAGGTGGTCTTCGTAGACTGGTTCCTTTAGTACATGATTCAATGAGAAACCATTTTTAAGGGAAAAAACAAATGTGGCCTTTGTAGACAGGTGGTCTTTGTAGACAGGTGATCTCTAAAGCAGGTTTGACTGTACAAGGGTTCCCAAAAGTGCACAACATATTTGGTGTATTTTCCAAGTTTGGGGACATCAGAAAGCGAAATTACCATTTGTAAATTCTCCCTGACAAGGATGGTGATAAATGCTTTAGATATTCTAAACCATTTCAATGGAAAGCTGCTATGCTAGTTTACCCAATTTGGAGGAAGTATGGATACTTTTTTGCTAAGAATTTAACCCTGACTAAAGTTTTTACACCTGTCCATGATACTGTGAACTCTATGTGCTACGTATTGAATCTTTAGACTGCCACATTCTTTCAATTACATGATCCATATCAAGTAGATTGTGTGGCAAATTAACTGTAGCAGTCCTTTCTTAGTCCCTTTGGTTGACTAAAGTGAGTGAGAATAGAGTGATTAAAAGTTATATTCATTCCAGTCGATGGTTTGTATTTATGTTTAATATGCAGTTTGTAAATAGACCGTTTTACCTACATATTCAAATTGATGGATGTTTCTTTCCTGGGGACCTAGGGACGAGGTATTCCATTATTCTGTTTATTAATGAATGAACTACAATACTTGGAAATCAGTTTGCATATATCACTTGTTGCTATGTAGGGGTAGCCTCGGGCAAGCTTTGGGTTGTCAGGAACAACTTTTCTTTAAACAGTATGTATACAATTTGGATATGTTAGTAAACTAGTCTATTGAACAAAGCTTAAGTCTCAAACATCTTTTATCAATCTATCCATTGAAATATCCTTCTCGCCCATGCAGAGTTCCTCATCGTCTTGGACGTCATTGACACGAGTGACACCATGGTCGACCTGGCTTGGTACTTTCTTGATGCAGACAACTTGGTTGCCTTCGTCCTTGAGTACAGGAGATCCGAGGAAGACTCGTGGACGTTGTCCACCCTCATCAGCAAATCAGAGAGAGAGTACACCATCTCCGGCCTGGATCCAAGCACGCTGTACTTTGTCCGACTTCTTGGATTTTTCACCGAGGAAACCAAGGTGATCTCTTTTCAGAAGGCCTTTATAACAACTGAAGGTGAGAAAGCGCTAGAAACATCAAATATAATGAGATATGAATAATAATGATATTCTTTTCTTTTCTACCTCATACTGTATCATAGTGTGATTTAACTTATCCATGTACTTTTAAAGGACTTTGTATACATCATGATAAGAACCAGTAAATAACTCTTTTGTGAGGTGCATGCAAAATAGCAATAAGGAGATTGAAAGAAAACTACATAGGATGTTCATGAAATAAACAAAATTTGTCTAGCTTCTTAAAGTAATCACTGATGGGATGATGATAGTTGATCGTTATTTTTTTTAGGATACAGTCAAACCTGTCTATAGCAACCGCCCAAGGAATACACAAAAAGTGGTCTTTTTAGACATGTTCCTTTAGTACATGTTTCAATAAGAAACCTTTTTTAACGGAAACAAAAAATGTGGTCATTGTAGACAGGTGGTCACTAAAGCAGGTTTGACTGTACATGTATATATAGCAGCATTATACAGACGTTAACAGAATATAGACTGTAATAATAGAGGATACATCACATTGCACCTGAATGTCATATAGTAATGAAGTAATTGCCTTAAACAATATTGAAACATGCATCCTTTTTATCAGTGAGATAATATTCTCATTTTCCATCATACAGACAGTAACAGAGGATATGTCACATTGCACCTGTAAGTCATATGACAAGGCACTAATATCTTTTGGCAAGATATTAACCTACACTTGCTACTCTCCACCCAGGTGTTGAGCATTATATAAAAGCTGAATATTATTATTATTATTACTATTATTATTACATGCATCCGTTTTATCAGTGAGATGATTTTCTCATTTTCCATCATACAGCGGACAATGTTCCAGACACCGGTCAATCCATCACACCCCAGGGGTATTCCAGTTCCGTTCTCATCTGGATTCTTGTGGTTGTCGCCCTCATTGCTTTTGTTCTCTTCATCTTCGTGGTCGTGATGGTCTATCGACGTCGTCATGACTCTGTGACCTTACCCTTCAGGGACTTCAAGGGGCGCTTTGCAGTCGGAGTTAGGGTAAGTGCAAGATGGTTACCCTTCTTTGCTTTTTAAATTATTATTATTATTGTTATTATTACTTATACCGCGCTTTTCATTTAAAGGTAATACAAAGTTTTGGTATGGGGTTATGAATTTGGTTCATATGAACATATTGGAAGCATATGCGATCCTACAATATTCAGTGATCGTTTGCGCGGTTGAAATCGAGTCTAAAGTGATGAAATTGTAATAATAAACTGTTTATGTTGTATAGCTCCCTCTAAAGGTCAATATATTAATTTAGCTATAAAACAATGTTTCTTGACTAAAATCGACCGATTGGTTATTCCCGTTTGGAAATTATATATCACAACTACATATTCTGAGATTTACATGGTCACAGCTGCAAATTGTAAGGCCATAGGCCCTATTTGAAATTCAACTAAATTTACCGGGAGCACCGGTAAAGTTTTATATTCAATTTATCTCAAAAGCAAAAGTGTTTTAGGGGTTAACTTTTCTAGTGCTTATGACACATCCACAGGGGCATCCAAATATATCAAAGTTGTAAAGAATCACTATCCAGCCAAATTTTACAATTTCCCAAAACTTTGTATTACCTTTAAGGCCCAAAATTCACAGTGAATGAAAATAAAAATTACACAAATACATATAATAAGAAAAACAACTACAAACTGCCAAAAAAAATGTATTTTAAAGGCCTTTCTGAAGGTAATAATGATGAGTTTGTGTTCAGAAATTTGTTGCTTATTATTTTGTTGTTTTGTTATGGGGATTAATTGTTACCTCTTGTAATCTCTAGGTGTTCTAAAACATGTTGACATCGTCTACAGGATTTGGATGATTCCTGTATTGGGTTTTGTAGAATGAGAGAAGTCAGTCATTGAGTAAATGAAGCAGCAAAGTCAATTCAAACATGATTACTTTCTGTTTAGCTTTTACGCAATATCATAATTTGTTTGAAGACCTTAAATACTATCATTTTACCATGGATTTATTCATTTTCAATATTTATCATAAAGGAACGTCCATATTGTGTTCTCTGATTCTTTTGCTCTGTATTTTGCAACCATATCTTTAAAAAAAAATAGTTCTATAATTACTTCTATTTGCCACAAGAGGGCTTACTACCGTTGGGCATAAACCTTGGTACTGCAAAAATGCATACCAGTAACTAGATTATGATTTAGTGTGTAGTCTGCTGACTAATGGCCACTAGAGGGCAGACTTTGACTAAACCTCAAAAGAGTGAAAATAACTCAAAAACTTTGATACATGCAGTGACTAAGTTTTTACCAATTGTGTAAATATTCGTTGTATGGAGCTTTGAACAATCGCGTTGAAGAAAGAGTAAAGAGAAACCGCCCATGGGCAAATAATCCGCTACTTTTGTGAGCCAGCTATAATACAATAAGAAATAGCCCATGACTAAACGAATGAATGGAACAAAAATGCACTTCTGAAACAAAATATACATGCTGCAAATTGATTGTAACAGCCTGACACACTTGAATATTTACTCACCATTTAGCTTTCTATACTCCAGTAAGAAAGTCTATAAATTTGGAAGTTGTTCTTTTATCAAAGTAATATGGAATTGGTTGTTTGAAGTTGGAAGGGATTCAAGAAGTTGAGATGTACAAATATTTCTGGGTACGTATCATTAAGTTTACAGGCATCGTCTGTGTTCTAAAGATTATTTTATGTATTCCGGATTGTAACAATTGCTGGATGGTTTTTGGGTTAAAGTGTCCTGATGTTCAAGCAAAGAGAATTAAGTCATTTAGGATTTTAAGAAAGTTGTTAAAACCAGAATAGGTAAATTTGTCATTATTTCCCATCATAAAAGTATTGAGTTCTGGGAATGTTTTTCAGAGGTGATTAAGAAAAAAGGTATTCAATGTTCATTCGATGCTGGTTTGACCCATTAAAAAAAAAAATTATTTGCCCCCAAACCTGATTTTCTGTTTATTATTAATGTAAAAATGTGGTTTTCCTATTGTTTGTGTAGTAATAGCAAAGAGATACCAGCATAGGAAGTCTGCATATATTTTGTTGCAACAGGATACAGTATAATTTTTTTAAATACATTTAAGAGGGAATGAGAGAGACAGAGAGTAATAGAGGTAGAGAGAGAGAGAGAGAGATAGGGGTATAGAGAGAGGTAGAGAGAGAGAGAGAGAGAGAGATATGTGTATGAAATGACCTTGAGGTCACCAACAAATAATCTACTTTAATTGATAATACAGGGATTTTTACACTTAAATCTTTATATGCCACACAAATAATCTCCCGATGCCACAAAGTATTTATCATGGGATATAGAAACACCAAAGGCTTCAAGGTGAGTGAACTGTTCCCACCGCAATATTAATTTATACTAGAGGTAAAAGGATATTCATGGTGCTAATTAAGACCGGATTTTGAGTTATTTTGCAAAATCATTGTGTTACAAAAAGTAATCCTTCCCTCAATTTTTGTGCAAAAATGCATGCATGTTGCAAAGAAACAACCATGCAGAGAAGTGAAGAAAGCAAGCAAAATGTTAAACCTTGATGTGAAGAACAATGTCGTGACAAACTTATTTTGGGCAAAAACTATAAGTTTCTGTGGCCCCAAGGAGCTTGTTACCACAATAATTCACTGACTTTTTGGATATTGTCTGTGTTAATTAAAATAAAAAAATGAATGCCCTTCTGGCTTTCATCAAGCAGTATGCTCTAGCTACTCTGAGATATGTGTAAAAATGTGGGGTGGGTAGAAGGGAATCTTTGTCATTACGACACTTTTTCAGAAGGAAGTGGGCTAACAGTGAACTAATACATGAACAAATGAAAGTATGTCTTAAATTCCTCGTTCCAAATATTCTTTTCAAAAGTTTGAAAAATGACTACGTCATAATATGATTTTTTTTCTTCATGCAAAAGTGCACCAACATTCTTCCCATTTCTAAAGCCTGGTGCATGATGGAATGTGGTAAACATAAAACGGTATTCAGGGAAAAAAATTGTCGAAAATGAAATTATAAAGGAGTAATGATCTATGAGTTTTGACACACCTTCCAAGTTCATGAAGTATAATCTCAAAACCGAATACCCTCATGTTATAGGATCAGGGGCCCGTTTCACAAAACTTGTCATCAGTGACAAATGGCAGGCTATGTTCTAAGCTACTGAAATCCTTGCTTCTGATTGGTTATCAGCAAATTTGTCACTGATATTTGTCATTTGTCATTGAAAAAAGGCTTTGTGAAACGGGTCCCAGATTAATAATACTTGGCTGTGCCCTGACAAAGCGATAGTACTTTATTTCATTGTTTGGGTTTCGAGCCATTATACTTATGTTATTCAAGAGTACTTCTGTACAGAATGAGCATATATACACTCTATATTAAGTTATGAAAAACCTGTGACAGGCCTGGCTGGACTCTGTACATGCATGCACCTGCACTGGTATTAACTCCAAGTTAATGTTCCATGCCGGCCTTGACATCGACTATTTCATTTACATGTATGTTCTGTAATCCTTAAAGCGGCCCACTGCATGCACAAGTTGGCCAGGAGGGATTAGACCTCCCAGCATGGTCACTGGCAGGTGGTTATATACACTGTATCTCATCAGCTTTCAATTAACATAAGAAAAAGAAGATCATGGGGGACCAATGGTCACCGATTAGGCATTGTTTGCTATATAGAGGGCGCAAGTAGCTATAAGTAGTACAGTGGGGCTTTAATTGACTTATAAAAAAACATAGCTGAATACTATACCTGCATGCACCTGCATGGATGCTAACTCCAAGTAAATGTTCTATGCCAGCCCTGATATGAAATAACCGTTTCTCTTTATGTACTGAATCATTGGCATGCCTCACTCCTTATCTCAATCTTTCCCCTCTTTTTTTTTTTTTTTTTTTTTTTTCCTTGGGGGGGGGGGGGGGTGTCCCCTCTTAATATTTCATTTTCCTTTCATATGCATGACTCAACATTATATTTAGGGAGGAGCTTCCCCAATGAACTGTTTCTTCATGTACATATCACTGGTTTGACTCGTGATATGTATACAAACAGGGTGTGATCTTCAAATGTACTGATGTGTGCAGAGTTTTCAAAATGTACACATCTTTTTATGACAGAGTAATGGAGACACACATTTAACATGGAGAAGAGTACACTATATGGGAGGACTTACTGAAATACAGCATGTCTGCTCATCATTATCTTGCACAACATTTGTGTCACTGTGCATGGAATAAAAGATATGAGCTTGGATTCAAAAACTAAACATTTGAACAGCAACTTCCCCTATTTTTTACCATCGACTTGTAAATCAATTTCTATAATGCTTTGTAACAATATATAACAATTTCTCTAACATGCAATTTCATTTTTGTAAGGAATAAGAAATTGGAAATGGTAATTGATTCAAAGGAAAATGCAACACATGGACTGATTTTCTACGGACATTAAAAGTGTCAGATTATGCTATGAAATGTACAGAATGAAGCAAGTTTTGTAAATACAACAAAAAATCCTCAAAAGTTGGGGGGGGGGGGGGGGTTCAGTGGCATTTCAGAAGCAAGAAACGATTGTTGTATGTCACACAGTTAGTCATACTAATAGAACATGCACCTAGACTTTGAAACCTGTACATTAATGCAATCTCAAATAGCAAAAGAACTTATAAGATATATTTTGAAAATGTGTTCTTTTCTTTACCATCTAGTGATGTTTTTAGTTGAGGTTATAACTCTCAGTCTGTCGTACTTTTAAACTACTAAAATTGAAAAATACCAATATTCATATTCATTGTAAGCATATACATGTTCTCAGTTTGGTTTAGTAAATTCTAATTCTACTAAATATTTAAACCTTTTACCTTTTCAAACTGTCAAAAGTTATGTCCTTTAAATCTTTAGTATTTATCCATATTTCGGCCACTGACGTCATATTGAAGGAGTGGCCGAAATATGGATAGAGGCATTTTCCATAGTGTTTGATTGACAGATTCAATGACTT